TTGTGGGGTTCTGCGCTTGCTGTCCGGACCTGGACTGTCTGGGGCTTAAGAAAGGTCTACCGGCCTGCAGGCCTCAGGCCACAGATCATGCTGCAGATCTGACTCTAATTCCTGGGATGTTCCTGCAGCGGAGCAGACATGTGATCTATGCAAGAGGGGCTTGGACTGCAGGAAAGCCACACAGGGATGGAGGAAGGCTTGCCAGGATGGCTGTCCTCCAGGGAGCTGGAGCAGACAGAGAAGCAGCCCCCCAAATCCTTAGGGCCCGGTGCCCAGGCAATGGGTCAGCAGAGGGTGTCCGAACAGACTGACAGTGATGATCCTCTGGTGACGATCACTTGATGAAACAGAAGAGGAGGAGACACAAGCTCAGATGATGGATGGAAAATAAGGCTGACAGAAGAGGACAGGGAGGAAAATGCAAGGCGATGAGGGAAAGAGAAACCAGAGGAAAGGAGCCTCTTGGCCAGGAGACGGGAGGTAGACCAGGGGCAGGGGGAGCAGGACACCCGGAGGGCGGAGATTCTGTTCCCTGCTTCGGTGTGTCTGGGCTGGATACAGGGCCTTAAACGCCTTTCCCAGCAGGGACAGCCCACCCTATGCTGCCTCCTTTCCTGCCTTAGACACACTTCTGAGATGCCAGGTGTGCCTGGTGTGACCCTCTACCATGCTGGGCTGCCCTGTGTGGAGACAGAGGTTTACACAGACGGCTCCCACCCAAGCACTCTGGTGGGACAGGGCCCTGCAGTATGGCACAGCATTGGTGCCCGCTGCTCAGGCCTGGCATGCAGAGCCTCCCGTCCACCCTGGGTCACAGCTGCATTTCAGAGTGGGGCTCCAGGGGCATCAGGCAGTGACCCCAGAGCAACCTCAGACTCCAACTTGGTCCTCTGGACAGAGAGGGTGAGGGGAAGAAGGGAGAGAAGATATTCCCGGGGGAGAGAGGACCTGGGCTCCAGGGTGACCCCCATCATTGCCATGGTTCAGCTTTCCTCCGAAGGGCACCTCTGACTCTGTGAATGGTCAGAATCAAACTTCAACTTCAGTGTCCTGGCCATCAGCCACCCCTGTGTGACAGTGTGTGTATGAGAGAGAGTGAGAGGGAGCAGGAGAGACAAAGACAGAGGCAGAGACAGAGGCAGAGAAAAGAGAATTTAGACCTAAAGTGCAACTGGGAATCAGGTAGGCGTGGGGGTTAATGAGGGGGGCTAATTAAGACAAGGTATAAAAATGTTCTTTGGTTATTTCATCTTATTTCAAAATGTAATAATCTTCCAGATCATGCAACTTAGAAAGTAAGGAGAGGCAAAAAGAAAATTTCAACTACCCCTAATTTCATAAAGAGAGGCGATACCCCTGCATCATTTGGCTGAATTTTCCCTGCAGTCCCTTCTCCATGGGGTTGTCTACATTTGTAGCTGTCCACACACATGCACCTAGATTTAGGATCAAATGGGAATCAGTTGGGCAGGGTGGCATACGCTTTAATCCCAGCTGAGGCGAGAGGATCACCAAGAGTTCAGGCCAGCCTGGGCTGTAAACAGAGACCCTGGCTCCAAAAACAAAAAACAAAACAAAACAAAAGGAACCCGCTGGGGATCTTCCCAGGGTGCTGCGGACAGACGCTGCCACAGAGGCTGATCCGCGGTGGTGCACATGGTGGCACGGGGAAGACAGCAAGAGGAGGCAGGCGGCTGCACTCTCACCCAGAAGCAGTGGGAGAGGCGGGGGCCCAGCGGCTGGCGCACAGCCCACGGTCGCCCACGGCCCTGCGCGTCCCCGGCGCAGTAGGCTCGGCAGGGCCTTTGATCCACGCGCAGTGCGTCACAGGCGAGGGCTCAGGGGCGTGGGCCCGGCGCCCCTCCAGGAAAGACTCGTATGGGGTGGGGCTGTGTCGCACCCCAGCCCCGGTGCTGCAGAGCCTGGTCCTGGCCTTGGGGTCCCAGCTGTGTGCCCTGTGCCTCACTCAGACTCCGGAGCTCAGGAAAAGGCCTCCCCAGTGAGAGAAAGGGGTCCCTTCTTGCACACAGGAACTGTTTTCTGAGGTTCACCTGTATTTGTTTTCTACATCTGAGACATGCCCTTATTCATTTCCATTTTCTCTGTTCCTTCCTCTCTCTGTCTCTCTGTCTGTCTCTGTCTCTGTCTCTCTCTCTCTCTACCTTTTCACTGAACTACAAACCTTTTAAATATTTTTTGACACAAGCTCTCACTAATTTGCTTTGGGATTCTCCTGCCTCAGCTTCCCAGTGTGCTGGGATTATAGGTGTAGTAATCTTATTTCCTTCCTGAAGTTTTTCCAGGACTAGGACCAGGGAGTTGGAAGTGCGGGAAGGTGAGAGGCGGTCCACTCCGGGCAGGAGGACCTGCAGCAACCTTTATTGCTCATTCATCTGGCTCCTGTGAATACCTGATGCATGCTGCCTAGCTAGGGGCCGAAGAGTCCAAAGAAAGAAAATGCGTCCCAGACTTGTGGAAGTCCCAGTTTTTCACAGGGTCAAGCCTATTACCAAATTATCAGTGAAAAATGTGCCTTTGGGTACAAGGTCTGAAAAGTCCTGAATATTACCAAACTGACTTTTTAAAAAAATCAGCTGCTGGTGTAGCTTAGTGACACAGTGCACTTGGCATGCATAGGGCTTTGGGTTTAAACGTCACATCCCAAGCAAAGCATGGGCTGCATTTTTCAAAACATTCAAATACGTTAAAATGTTTCCCCTCAGCTTCCAGACACTTTTCTAAGAAATACCTCTAAAGTTAAAGCAACTAGCCCCAGTACTAATATGAAAGAAACTCCAGGATCCAAAATGTCTAGAAACCCAAAAGAGGTGGTACAATGTTCATGTCTTTCTAAAAGGGTAAAATGTTGGATCCATTTCTTTACATTTAGAGGATTTTCATCTGAAAAGGTATCTCACAGTTGAAGGAAAATGTATTGAATATATCGTTTGAAAATGTAACCAATATCCAGATATTGTTTTCGTTTTTGTCTTGAGCTGGAGTCTCACTATATTTCCCAGGCTGGGCTTGAACTCTTGATTCATGTGACCCATTTGCCTCAGCCCCCCGAGAAGCTGGCACTACAAGTGTGCACTACCGAATTTGTCTAAACTAACATCCTTTTAAACAATAAATTTACCCTGTGACTCTGACTTTTAGACTAGGTCTGCCTGAAAGTTGCATAGGAGTTTGCCCAGAAGAGGTAATCTTTGAGCTGAGTTTTGAGCAATAAGTTTGTCAAGCTGAACATTCTACTAGAAGCAGGTGGCAGGTCATCCCAGAAGGCTCCATTCTGGCATCAGACGGAAGCTGAGCTGGGCCATATCTGTCCCAGGGCAGTCTTGGCCTGAGACAGAGGAGAGTACCTCAAGAAGAGCCTCTGCTCACCTTCCTCCACAAGTCCAGCCATGTGGGGATGGCAGGAAGGCAGAGGGCTTGGAACTGGATGCCAATGGCTGTTCATTAAGAAATCATAACTAGGGATATAGCTCAGTGGTGTAAGTGCCTGTCCAGCAAGTACAAGGTCCTGAATTTGATTCCCGGTACAAAACAAAACAAAAAACAAAAAGAGAAATCATAACTAGTTTTTCTCCTGATCTGAATACTGGATCTCTAACTAGGCTCAGCTATAAGGGGCCATAGAAAATACTCTATTAACAGTCTTATTTTGGAGGTAAAGATGTCAAGGGTAAAGTAATTCCTAATGTCATAGTCTTTGAGTGATAGCTTCAGTGAAGCTTCCTGCAAAGAACAAAACACTTTCTCTGAGTCGTTTTCCATTTATTGATTCTTTGAAATGCAAGGAACAAACTTCATTTCTAGATAGCACTATTCGTGAGTTGATCAGTCTCTCAGTCATCCATGCAGCTATGAAATTATTCAGTCCAGGTGACACCAAACTCCTGGCTTTCCATAGTCGCAGAAACAAAAGACCTAGATTTGCCCTGAAGCAACCCAGAATCTAGGTGAGTAGGAAAAAAATCATATGTTCTTCACACTTAAAACCAATGAGCGTTGGGCATGGTGACACACATCCTATAATCCTTGTACTTGGGAGGCTGAGGCAGGAGAAACACTGTGAATTTCAGCCAGGCTGGGCTACTTAAGTGAGATCAAGGCCAGCCCGGACTACATAGTGAACTCTGTCTGAACCTTGCCCCACAAAAAAGCCAGCAAGTACTGCTGACATTAGGGTGTCCGGGTGATGTTGGGTTGGGCTGCAGTTCCCTGGGAGGGGGCAACTGAGGCTGGCATGAGCTTCACAGGGAAGAGACAGTGTCTGAATGGCTGTGGGCGGGCACAGGCTGCTCACTCCTCACTCCCTGCCCCACTCTCCTGCCAGCTACACCTCCACCCAGCCTCGATGGGAACTGGACTTGTTCTCACTGGGTCACTGACCTGGCAAGGGGACTGGCACTGCTGCAGACAGCTCAGTCCCCTCCTCTTGTCCACAGGCCCCGAGCCACGCAGCCGCGGCTTGGCAGCAGTAGCAGCAGCAGAGCTGAGGCTGGACTGATGCGGTGTGAGACCTAGCACCAGCATCTCTAAACGGGGCAGGCAGCTCACCCTGCTTTCAGAGTCACCCCAAGACATGCATGGGCAGTCGCCTGCGGGCTGGTCCTCAGAGCAGGAGTAAACTCAGAGTGAATTCTTAGTCCTTCTTGGCATAGTGCGCATGTGTGGGTGTGCACACGGGTGCATACAATGTGATCAAAATACATAAGGGATGTTTAAATTTTAAAAAAATACAGTAGAAGACACTTTGCCATTAATCACCCTCAAACTACCCCCCCCCACAAACACACTTCTAACACACCTATTCTGCGGCAGTTCTGCAAGTCTTAATGGGGTGTGATTTAAAAAAAAAACAAAAAAAAAACGTGAATGCGGCTGCCAAGCACCACCCAAGTGGGAAGGGAGAGTTGTGAAAATATCCCTGTGGGCCTCCTCTTTCACGGGACCTGACACCATGTGACTTCCAGCTCTTCCCCAAAGTCAAAATGGCCATGGGAAGTGAATGTTTTGAATCGATTCAGGACATCAAGGCAGCACAACTGAAGACACAAAGGAGGACTTGCGGAACTGCTTCAGAAGTGGCACGAATGATAGGACCAGTGTGTGAAGTGAGGGGAAGGGTACTTTGTGGGGCACTCGTGGCAACATGTCTTTTATTGTAATACCAAGAATGTAAGTGTCCACGATGAAATTTTTAGGCCACGCTTTACGTGCGTATTTATATCTTTTTGTTTTGTGGTGCCTCCTACATCCTCAGCCCCGTAGTTTATTTTGTACAGAGCAGATTTTCAGACAGCGGTGTCGGTGTGGCACGATGTCCACCCTGACTTGACCAAGTATGGGGAATGAACACAAGATGGCCCCACAGCGTCATGGCAAGGCTCCTTCTGGAGTCTCTGATTAAAAAAAAAAAAAAAAATTGCATGGCTCTCCGGCCTGTTGGGCTGCTCTGCGGTCACCCTCGCTGCAGGAACCCAATCGCAGCAGCGCTTTTCATCCTGCTAAGGAGCCACGAGCTGCTCCTCCGGGCAGGGGCACGGCTGGGGGCTCCCCCGTGAAGAGGGTGGCGGGCAGCGGGCGGCCCCATCCCCGGCCACAGCCTGTCTGCCGCCGCCCAGGTGGCGCTGCAGGCAGCACCGCCTGTGGCCGAGCCCGCCGTCTGCCGGACGCACGCGCCGGTTCCTCGGACGGCGCTGCGGACTTGGGCTCCTGCTGGAAGCCTAGAGGAGCAGGACACCTCGCTTCTCACCCCGAGAGGAGCGCGGCTGCCTTTCCCCGTCTTTCTAAAATTTGTGAAGTCCTCCCCATCTGCAGCTTTCATAAGTACCAGGGTGGGTGGCTGGGTGGGCGGCTGCAGCCGGGGCTGTCTTAGTCTTGGGTTTTGACTCAGGTTGAGCTCTTGCTTAGCAGGCCGGAGGGCCTAGGTTCGAAACCCAGCACAGCAAAAAACAAGACTGAAACCCTCGAGGGCTCGCCACTCCGGGGTGTGAGCCCAGGAAACCCTGACCCGAAACCCCGCCGCTCTCAGAGCTGGGAAATGAAAGTGGCGCTGCATTCTCAGGGCGGGCTGACGACAGACTGGAGTCCCCCGAGCGAGAGCGGAGACCCCTCGGCGTCCTCCCACGGGCGCTCTGACGACGGGGCGGGATGCCGGGGGCGGGAGGCCGAGGCAGGCCGGCGGCGTCTCGGGGTCCCGCGAGCAGAGGCTGTGGGGGAGCAGGGCGGCACCCTCCTGGCCACTGCCCCACCCCGCCCAGCCTCGGGGGCGGCCCCTTCCCTGGGGTCCGCTGAACCGCGCCCCTGCCACGCCGGCCAGGGCTCGCGGGGGGATGGGCGCGGGGACGAGGGGGCGGGGTGGGGTCGCGGGGGCGCTGGCTCGCGGGGCGCGACCGCAAGCGGGGGCAGGCGCTGCGCGGGTGCGCGGCGCAGGGGAGATCGCTGCGATAACCTGCTGGGTGGCAGCTGCGACAGGAAATCTCGGGCAGGGCGAGGACCGCGGGGTCCCACGGAGTCCTTGCGGGTCACGGTTCTCCACGCGGGTGCGGGCTTTGGCACCGAGATCCGAGCGCACCTCGCGTTGGCGCTTATCGCCTCGCGTTGGGCTGTGGGAGGTGAACTGACCTCTCTAAACTGACCGCTATTGCTCGGTTCACAGCGCTCGGGGAAATTGAGGCAGGAAGTTCAAAAGCTGGAGCCCTAGCCTTGGACAATTTAGTGATGTAACAAGATGCTATCTTGTAGCTCAGTGTGAAAGCCCTAGATTCACTCTCCAATAAAAATACAGACTCGTACAAAGAGTTTCCATTTGCACCATTTTAAAGTGTGATTCAGTAGCATGAAATAAATTCAGAATGTGCAACCATAAACACTATCGGGTATCACCATCCCAAACAAAAACTCCATCCAGATACATTTTTCTGTAGGAGTTTTTAAGTGTGCAAATGTAGCCGACGTAATATTTTTGATATCCTTTTAGAGCTTTCAGTTTTGTTTTTCAGTATCATGGAGATCTATTGTGTGTTTTAACTGTGGTATAAATACAGTAAAATGTATCAGTTTGTCGGTTAGTAGGCATTTATGTTATTTTTGGGTGTTTTTTTCTCTTGCTTGTGGAGATAAACTTGTGCATATATTTCTACACACTGTGGGAATTTATCTGTAGAACAAATCAAATTTGTAGAGAAATGGCAAAATCCTGCCTGGAATCTTGACATAAGGTGGCTTCCTCTGGAGTGGATCTCTTTTAAACGGTGCTAACATTCAGGGGGCAAAATGTGGGGCTGTGTGCTATGCAGAATGAAATCCGGGAGTGACCTGGCCTCTCACCTGGGATCTGCCACACCAGTGCTGTGGGACACCGCCTTCATTTCACCTCCCTGACCTTCAGTCTCTATCTGCAAAGAACAAACATGATCTGTCCCACTTGGCTAACTCAAATGCCCTTAAGACCAAATGAAGTCAAAAATATAAAGCAGTTTGCTATATTGAAGATGTGTAACAGATGTCTGGAGTGACAGACGATGCCAAACAGGAACTGAGAAGTGAGAAGGAGCCTGGCACGGCCACGTCCGCCTGTAATCCTCGCAGTTTAGAAGACTGAGGCGGAAGTACCAAATACTTTAGAAAGCAGCCTGCCATCATGAATAGTGGCTGTGTTTGAATGTGAAATTAGTGATTAGTGAGTGATTTTCAGTTTTCCTCTACCTTTCTGCACTTTTATAATCATTGGTTTACTTGAAAATAAGATGAAAAATGACCACAAAATTTTTAAATGAGTAATTTTTAATTAGGGCTGGGGATTTAGCTCAGCAGCATAAGCGCCGGCCTGGCAAGTGCTAGGTCATGAGTTCAATCCCCTGTACCAAAAAAAAAAAAAAAAAAAAAAAAAAAAAAAAAAAAACTAATAAAAATAATTTTTAATTACACAAACCATAACAACTTTCATCAGCATACAGAGAAGCAGCCACTCAATTCCACAAACTTTAAGAAACTAGTTTCTTCCCTCTTTCCTTGAATCTCTAAGGATGTGTAATTCATAGCTAGTTATGGCCAGATGATCAACTTGACAATAAAATGTGAATGTTTAGAATCCAGCACTGAGCAGGGCATTGCTGATTGCCACGGCAAATCACAGCAAGTAGCAGCATGTTAGAAGGGGTCAAACCCTTCTCCTCAGGCCGAGGACCTCCAGGTCCTCTGAGCACCACAGCAAGCGGTGCTTAAGAACCTGGACTCTGATCACCTCCAGCCTGCTGTTAAATCCAGCCTCAGTTTCTCCAGATATACAGTAAGAGTCACAGTGAAGCCTGAATGAGAAGACTCACATGAGGATCCAGGCACAGAATACATCTGTAGCCAGTGCATGTTGTGGTCATTCTGTGCATCTAACATGTCTTGTGCCTGCTGCTGTGGAAGCTGCTCTGGGTAAAGGAGCATTCCCTGCAGGGGAGGTCTGGGTGCCCTGTGCTGTGGCAGGTGGTTGGTGTCACACCCAGCACCCTGCCTGGCAGACTGTCCTTAGCCGCTGCCTCCACCTTCCTGAGGCCACGTGACTTCCTGTTTTCTAAACTCTTGCCTACAGTGTCTCCACCAGCTGAGCCTGAGATGGGTGGGGCAGCAGAAGGACACTGGGCCCAAAGTCGGGGTGCAGAGGGAGGAGCTCGGGGGCTTGCAGGTTAGCTGCTCCTGCCTGGCTGGTGGGCTGTTGTAATTAATAGTGATGCCATCACTCAAGGTACTGAGCATTCCAGTTTGTAAGCCCTCCCCACTGAAGGGCCACACACTAAGAGGTGGCCATAGTTGCTCCTCGGTGACAGGAGAGCAGACCCAGGACTTGAACTCAGGCTACCCCTGCCTTCAAAGGATGCATACTCATCTGCAGTGCTGATGTGGTTGCTTCCTTTTCATTAGATGGGAGAGGGCTGGACCTGGTGGGAGGGGTTTGAAAGGCTCCTTAGAGAAGTGGCAGGTAATTTGTGCTTCTGAAAGCAGAAATAGGGCCAAAGTTAATTTTTTTAGAGCTCTCCATCAGTAATTGGTGGGTGGTGAGCTCCTTGTCATGAGGATATTTAAGCTGACGTCAGTCAGAGGAATCCATGCAAAAGGCTCTTCTCTGGGTGAGAGGAGTCCCAGAGGCACTGGGATAAGGTACAGGAAGAAGGGATTTTGCATCAGATGTGCTTGCGAAATTTCAGTTGTGTGAACTTTTGGAGCATGATTTTCTTATCTGAGCTGGATGTGTTGGCAGATACTTGTAATCCTAGCAGAGAGGAGGCTGAGGCGCTAGGATCAGCCTGGGGTACATAGAGAGCCCCAGGTCTGTGCCACTGCCTCAGACCTTAGACTTTTCCATCTGCTTTGCAGCCAGAGGAACTGAAGTTTGGACAGCTAAGAAAGCCATTTCCAGACCCTCAGGCAGCAAGAGGCCAAATCTGAACTTCATTCGAGTTTAGAACCTCTCTGCCTTGAAGGCCTGAGTGCTTCTTCTTCCCCAGTGGCTGGTGATGGTGGGGGACCAGCATTCACCAGCTGCACCTTCCAGCCCTGGCCAGAGGAGCCCACAACCTACAGCGGTCACGGCCGCAGTGACAAAGTGTTAAGAGCAGGCACACAGCAGTGCTGTGTGTGCAGGGGCAGGCGAGAATGCTGGGGCCTGCACCCATGGGTGAGGGGCACCCAAGGCTCAGGGCTGAGAAAGCACATGGAGCCAGGAGACCTTGTGACCCCCACCTAGCTTTGTCCCCACCTGCAGGCCTCCCTGAGGAGTCTGCTTTATTCCATGGGTCTCTGTTATCAACCTGTGAATGGGGTCCAATAATAGACCTCAAACCTTCTGAACTCCTGAGAATCAAACTCCACAGGGCACAGGAAGTGATTTTAATGGTACAGATGGGCGTTCAGACATGAGGTTGCCTTAGCAGCTGAGCATGCTTCTCAGTGGGATTTGCTGGAACAGGAGATTGCCCCAGGGTGTTTGTAGCTCTGGGCTATGGCAGGATAGGGTTAACTCAGTCCTAATTCCTGTTTTCAGTGGCTCATGGCCTGGCTGGGGCACAAGCACCTCCAAGCCAACAAACCTGTACCTCAGCCCTGATGCTGTTTCTTGGGGAAAAGATTCAGTTCAGGGATGCCATGAAAACCCGCCGTTTTTCCTATAAACGTTGGTATTTGAACTACCAGAGGGGCTTACCTTTTGTCTGGCCTCAGTGATCTCCCCAGGACGCCTGTCCAGCCTCTTGTGGAGGCCAAACCAGCCCCACCACTCCTGTCAGGTGTGACGTTCGCTCCTTGGCACCACTGGCTTGGTTGCTGGCTTCTTGGTTGAGTGGTCAGCCTCAGGGGACAGGCGTTGACCTTAGGTACTCTCTGCTGTGGCCCCAAGGGTGACACAAAGTGAAAGCCCTGACAGATCCATGAACAGGGAACAGACGTGAGCAGCCTCTTCCCATGTCTGAAGGGCTGTGCTGGGCGAAGTGCCTTCCTTTTTTGGGACCCCAGGTAGCTGAGGCAGGACAAGTCAGCATGACTCATGTTTTCACACCCCGAAGGAGTAGGCTAAGGAGGGGGTGCTGGGATGGAACCCAGTCTCCCAGGGCCATGTATCTTCTTGAACCTGGCGTATTTATGATGTTGACCAAAGGCTGTTGAGAGGTAGCTGGGCGCATGCTAATCAAACTGACCACTCCTCTGCTGCAGTGGATGCTCTGACTTGTCACCTTTGGCAGCCCCAGGGGCTTCCCCTGAGCATGTCACATGGCCTATTCCAGGTGTTCTGCTACCCAGCAGAAGTCCCAGCTTATTATGCATGTACTTGCATGAAAAACAACTGACAACAACGGCAGCTGACATCATGGAGCCAGACCACATCCTTCACCCCATTACAATCCTTGTATTTAATCCTCTGTGACTATCGACATAGGTAATGTTATACCCATTTCACAGACGCAGAAAGCAAGACGTTCAGTAATACACAGATCAGTAATACACAGTTCAGTAATACACAAGGACTGCAGGGTAGAAGCAGGACCCAGGCCTCCGTTTTCTTCCTCCCTGCTTGTGAAATCGCTGCCTGTCTCAGTGGAGGCTTCCCTGTCTTGTCCTGTGCCCTGCCCCATTTTAGCCACCCTGCTAGATGCTACAGCTCTGAACTCCAACTCCGGTCAAGCACTAGAGCTCCCCCCTAGGCAGGTCCAGCCCTGGGGGTGTAGCCAGGCCTAGAGTCCTGGGGAGAGGGACCGGAGCAGGGGACCAATCAACTTGTCCGGTTGTCCAGTGAGGCAGAGCTGCAGGAGGTTGGTAGGTCTCCCTATGGGGTGGCTCCCAGATTGACTGTGGCAGCCAGGGGTATGGTGGCTTGGCGGAGAAGGTGGATAAGGCTCTGTTTGAATATGGGGAGGGGAAGAAACTGGGGCCAGGGGGTGGTGATGTGTTACCTGCAGTGGAAAACTGTCTGGTGTCAGCCTGTGGCCTCTTCAGCTTAGCCATGGGCCAGCGAGGGCCGGGACTCCCAAGACACTCTGCGTACAGATAGTGCTGTCTTTGCAGAGGAAGTGGGAGTCTGTCACGTACACATCACTGGCCAGTGCACACTCTCACGCCATCCTTACCATCCCCCTTCGAGTAGATAGGAGAACCTTCTACCCATAGATGAAGAGACCTAGGCCCAGCTGTGTGGGGTATATGACTGTAACTCCAGCACTCTGGGAAGCTGAAGCAGGAGGATCCCACATTCAAGACCAGCCCTGTAATTTAGCAAGACTATGTCCCAAAGTAAAAAAATAAAAAGGGCTGGGAATATAGTTCAATGTAAAGATGCAAAGGCTGTAGGTTCAATCCCCAGTAACACAGAACCATGCGTCCAGAGAGAGAGAGAGAGAGAGAGAGAGAGAGAGAGAGACAGAGACAGAGAGAGACAGAGAGACAGAGAGAGAGAGACAGAGAGACAGAGACAGAGAGACAGAGAGAAATGAGGAGGGGAGGAGGGAAGGAAGGGAGAGAGGGAGCAAAAGAGGCTCTGAGCCCAGAGAGGGGAGCTGAATTTCTCAGACACACAGCTTGTTAGTGGCAGGGTAGTACTTACTTGAACCCCACTCCACCCAACCCAAATTTCATTTCAGCAGGCCTGGAACAAGCTGATGCCCAATAAATATTTAATCAATTACATCATTCGGTGAGGCCCTAGGTCTGGACCCTCCTGGCAATCAGTGCCTTCTCGAGACCCATCTCTCCCAGCACAGCACAGCCAGGTTGGGGAGAGGGAGGGTCCCCATCCAGGGATCAGAGTTGAGGTTCACATCTTATCCTCAGCCAACCTGCATGCAGCTCATTTGTCACCGGTCATAAAATCATGCTGCTCTTTAGAAAACAAGAAAACGTGTCCCTGTTCCTTATCCCCAGGGAGGTGCCCAATTCTGCCCTGTACTGCGCTGACTCTGCACAACACAGACGAGTTTTTCCTGATTGCTCTAAATTTACTGCCCAGCGATTTTTCTGTTCTCATTTTATGCGATGGGCAGCTGAGTGATTTTCTCCCAGCCCTTTTTATGAATCTAAACCAACCCATAAATCGCTGCTGACATCTCCTCTCCAGCCCTAAAGGAGAAAAAATTATGCCCAGTTTTTTGGCCTTGGCTGGGGCCTGGTTTTGGTTCACAGGACTCATCCCCTGCTATGATCACCTGGGGCAGAGGGTGGGCAAGCCCCGGGCTGGGGCTCTGCGTTGGTGCAAAGCGGGAGTCAGAAATAAACGCCACCTGTCCGAAAGGCTCACAGCCGGGGGTGGGGGGTGTGGGGGGGGTGTGGTGGGGTGGGGTGGGGTGGGGTGTTGCTGCTTGTGCTGAGAGCTCTGGGGTTCCTAGGACTGTGCTGCGGGGGCTGCATGGCAGCCTGGGGCGGGGCTTGGAGGAGCAGCCAGCTCAGGCCAGGCAGGGTCAGGAAGAAGGGGGTGCCCAGACAGCGGAAGGAGGGCCAGGCACTAGATGAGGGCTTCCAGCCTTGCTGTGGGCGTTTGGGTCAGCAGTGGTTTCTGAGCAGACACTGACTGCAGGACGCTGACACAGAGACCTACTGGCTGGGGCAGAGTCACTGTCACTACCGCCTGGGGACTCCTGCCTCCCCGCCCTGTCTCCATGGTGACTTCAGCCTGCTGTCAGGGGGGCTCCTGGCCCACAGCGCACAGAAGCTTGTTAGTTTTCACCCTGCTTACTCAGAAGAGGCGATTGGAGGGTCAGTACCTTGGCCCAGTCAGGCTGTTACTCAGGATGTGCCAGACCTCATACACATTCCCACTTCTGCCCCGCTGCAGCTGTCTGAGGGCCATCCCACCTGGGGGGACAAGTGTAGCCATAGCCAGGACCTCAGCTTCTGGGCTCCCAGGGGAAGGGCAAGATGACCACTGTGCCCCGTTCTTCCAGTGGAGCTGCTGCACAGTGACCAGCGGGTCCAGACCCAAATCTGCATCTCCTCACCTTGTGGTTTTCAGATAAAAGTGCCAGGTTTCACTTAGCCAGCGTGTTTACTGTCTCTCCTCCTTTGTCCTTCGTACCCGGAGAACCAGTGCTAAGCTGGTGTGCGTGAACTACTGCATGGCAGGCCAGCGTCAATATAGCAAGCAGTCAGGTACATTTGGGGTGGGAGAGGTTGAGCAAAGGCCCCAGAGCAGCGCTGGGAGAGGAACCGGAAGAGGAACAGCAGTCTGGGAGTGAAGACTGGGGGTGGAGCGGGTAGACCAATGGGCAGGGAGACTCCAGACCTGGATGGGCCAGCAGTCGCCCTGGCCTGGGTAGAGAGTGCTCAGCAGTGAGGCAAGGAGCTGGGTGTGGAGGGCTGAGCCCAGTTCTCATGGTCCTGCTCTCTTCTGTGCCTGGGCCTGGTCCTCTGGGGGTCATTCACAAAAGGGCTGTCGTCCCCCAAAACAGAAGTCCTTCATCTTCCTTCCTAGCACCCCTCACCTCTATCTCCAGCTCCATGAACCCAGCAGGTGTCACATCCACCACAGGGCAGGTTGGGCTTTGGCAGGAGCTGGCCAAGTTGGGAGAGTGAGGAAGTCTGTGTCCGTGTTACAGTTTCTGGGGTGGTGAGGATGTGTTCTTGTCACCCTGGGCCTGACTGACCAGTTTCATCTCTTGGGACAGAGGCACAGAGCTTTGGCCTGCTGGACCCCAAACTCTGCTATCTGCTGGACGGAATCCTCTTCATCTACGGTGTCATCATCACAGCCCTGTTCCTGAAAGCAAAGGTGGGCACTGCAGGCTCCACGGGCTAGCAGAGTGTGCGCTTCTCTGCTTGGTGAATGTGGGTAGTGGTCTTGGTTTTGCAGTCTTAGGTTTGGCTTTACTGGGGGCTTGGCTCTTGGGCAAGCTGCGTGTGTGTGTGTGTGTGTGTGTGTGTGTGTGTGTGTACCCCAGTTGGGCTGAGGAACTGAGGGCATCTGCCCGGGTAGGTGGAGGGGAGACCTGGACCTGGGTGCCTTGTGAAGAGCTGAACTCATGCATGGACATCAGAGTCCTGTGGCAGGGGCTGCTGCTGGCCCGCAAGAGGCTTCTGCTCAGGCAATCAAGGGCATGGAGGTGGGGACCCTGTATCCTCTACCTGTAACCTGGAGTCCAGCTGCTAATCATGGCCACACCAGCCTTTCTCCTGATACCTTAGCCCCTGCTGGCACAGGGATTGGTCAGGGCGGGGTGGGTTTCTTGCGATGTCTGCTGGGTGTGAATTTGCTAGAGGGCCGGAGGCAGAAGGAGTGTCATCCCTGCGGTGCCCACTACCACGTTTCCCCTTTGAATTTTGGTCTCTTCCTTGAGACTCTATTTGAAAAATTGCCTCGTTTTCTTTTTTTAAATTGGAAAATGCAGCCGCAGCTGATTTCTAAGGTCGCCACAGTTCTTAGTTTCTCGTGACTGGGGCAGCAGGTATTGGGAAAGCGTGAGGCTCTAGCATCAGACATCCCAGCTTGGCTTCTGGGACCTTTGGATGCCCAGGGCCCAGGTGGGAGCAGAAAGGCCAGGTAAATTCAGAAAAGGGGGTGCATGTGTGTAATCTCAGTAGAGGAAGCAGAGGCCGGAGAATGGCAAGTTTGAGCCCAGTTCAGGCAACTTAGCGATCTATTGAGATCCTGTTTCAAAATAAAAAAAAATATTAAAAAATATCTTTAAAAAGGACTGCAGATGTAACTCATTGCCAAGGCTGTGGTTTCAGCCACCAGTATTCGGGGGTGGTGGTGTTGGTGCTGGGCTGCCAGGCTGTCTACCCTTGCACAACCAGTGCAGGGCTGCACCTGCTGAGTGCCCTGGGGCTCCGCAGCCCTGTGTGGAGCAGTCACACAACCTCTCCTGCATTGCAGTTTGGCAGGAGCACGGAGCTGCCGATCCACCAGCAGGGCCAGAACCAAGTCTACAACGTAAGTCTGCATCCCCAGCACCCACCCTGTGCCAGTTCTGGCCACGGCCAGCTCTAGGCAATCAGCTGTCCAGCTCGTTGTCCCGCCAAGGATGGCAGCTGTTCCTGTCCTGCAGGAGGAGCCCATGTGGTCATTGCCGGATACATGGAGGAAGAAGGGTCCCGGGCCCCTGTTGACCCTCCCTGAGCCTCAGTTTCTTTATTTGCTCATGGGAAACTCATTGCTTCCCCACTCGATTGCTCAGTATATAGTAAGCTAAGTACTGGGCACCTTTGGGGATCCTGTCTCTTGTCACGGCACCCTCTGTTCTCTGAGCCCAGGGGTGGTGTCTACCCCATGGGCCAGGTCCCCCCGCTTCCCTGCCCCTTTCCATGAGCCACCACCAGGAGAAACCAGAAGGGCCAGGCTGTTTCCATGCTTGGAGGGGCCTCTTCCTGTGTTTGACCCGTTCCTCCTTTGTAGGAACTCAATCTGGGACGAAGAGAGGAGTATGACTTTTTGGATAAGCGGCGAGGCCGGGACCCTGAGATGGGCGGGAAACAGGTAGGGGACTGGTCCTCGCAGCAGGACACCTCATGGGGCCTGGGGCTAGAGGACTTGACTCAAGGTGGCTGTGAGCTGGGACTTTGTAATCTCTACCCTCTGCAGAGCTGTAGCAGTTAAAAGAGCTTTGAGTCCCTTGGGGGACGGAAAGTTTGAGACCAGCCCGGGCACCTTAGCAACACTCTCAAAATAAAAGTTTACAAGGGATGAGACAAAGGTCAATGTGAAGGCCCCAAGTTTAATTCCCAGTAGGGGAGTGAGGCAGGGTGAAGGATGGGGTGAGGGGTTCAAGGGAAGCAGGGCTAAGGACAAAGGCTGAGACTACCTGAGGCTGCCTGCCTGGTGGCCCCATGTTTCTGGCCTCATATGTCCATCTGGCCCTCATCCAGACCCTCTAAACAGCCCTGTGTTGAGTGTGCAATGCTAGCAGCACTGGGGAGCAGGAAAACTGATCACCCTTTCCCAGCCTCCTGCCCGGCTCTGTCCCCTCATGCCATATGGGAGGCAGGCTGCAGACCGTGGCCACTGCGCTTAGCAGGACATGCCTGGCACCCACGATGGGATTCCGCAGCACCTGTCATCTTGCCCGGGGAAGGAGTGGGTGACAGGGGGGCCAGGACCCACCCCTCTAACTGCTCCCTGCCGTCTCTCCTAGCCGAGGAGGAAGAACCCTCAGGACGGCGTGTACAACGTGAGTCGGGGATCATTCACATTGACCTCATGAAGTTGGGGGGCGGGCAGCAGGGGGCTCCGAGGGAATGCTTTCTCCATACTTCAGGCTCTTTCTATCTAGGCTGTCCCTTTGCTGGGTCAGGCAGGTTACCTTCTGGCTTGCAGCCTGTTGCACAGGGGCTCCTAGGGAGGCATCTTAGCAACGTCTAGGTCGCAGGTAGTTTCTGGTTCCTTCCCTCCCCTTCTGCTTTTTGGCTGGAGTTCTCAGATCCATCAGCCTGGGAGAGTGGCTGTTTGCAGCACCATAAGCTGGGTGAGAGCGAGAGGCTTCCTGTTATATAGCCCATCACCCCTGGGTGTGAGCCTGATGGTTGTTTCAGGCCACTGAGAGACTGCTTGCAGGCTAGAGAGCTCCCTCCTCTTCCTCGCAATTGGTTGATCCATACCTTGTGGTGTCGGTGGAGACAACTTGCTCAAATAAATGCTGCAGGGGCTCCAAGCCAGCCCTTGTGTCATCTAGTGTGCCTGCCAAGGTCTCTTGTGCCACTTATTTGTAGAGAGCTTCACTGAGCTTGTCTGCTCCCTGCAAAGGATGGAGGCCTCAGGGGTGGTGGAACTGGTCACAGGCAGAAGTGCTATAGGTTGTAGAAATGTTGGATCCTCGCTTGTGGTTGTCCCAGCCACCTTGGGGACAGAAAGCCTTCTTGTGGGAGAGCCTGCTCTTTTCTGCATCAGTAAAATCAGCGACTCATACCTTCTCCAGGCGCTGCAAAAAGACAAGATGGCCGAGGCCTACAGCGAGATTGGAATGAAGGGTGAGGTGAGTGGTGCCCTTTCCTCATGCCCGTGGAGTCCCTCAGGGCCTTCTCCCTGTGCTGGTCCCCCAGTGACACTGACTCCAGCTGTCACCTGGACAGAAGGAAGGACTGAAAAAGCAAATCTAGGTTCTGTGATAGCCTAAGCTTTGCAGAAGTGTCAGGTCTGTCACTGGTGATGCCTGGGAGTGCTGAGAGCTATATGCGTGCTGACACACAGTCAGGGGCAGAATGAGAATATAGGGCCCCTTGTCCATATATGAGGAAGAGTGTCAGGTTGGTGAGATGGAAGCAAATGCCCTAGCGGGACTCCAGGGTGACTGCACAGGTTGTGTGACTATGAAGCTGTGTGGTTTGCTTCCTGCAAAGATGGGTCTCATTTAATTCTTACAAGTAGCCCAGTGAGAAATGCATGTCCTGCAAGCAATGGGGAGATTAAAATAACTTACCTAGATCACAGGCCTAGGAAATGGGGGAGCAGGAGTCGAATCACCTGTGCTCTAGTTTATAACAACAGCTGCAATTTCCAGCAAGTGCTGATGACTAGGCAAATGTTTCAGGAGCTGCAGAGAAGTCTGTCTATTCCAAGCAGCTGACAACATGGCTAGATGCTACAAGGATTCTAGGATGAGCTAAGCCAGGTCTCCTCTCAGGGTGCAGAGGTGGAGGAGGCCTCACCCGGGGCCTGAGGACCTTTCTGTCCCAGGGCCAGGTTCTGGCTGGGAGACAGGCACTTCTAATTTTCCAGGGATCCCCTGAGCGGGGCTGTTGAATAAGCATGCCACTACCGACTGCCTTACTTTCTAACCTTTCTCATTTCACAGCGGCGGAGAGCCAAGGGACAGGATGGCCTTTACCAGGTAAGAGCTGGGCTCTATCTCCTGAGTGGCATTGTCTGACAAGGCGTGAGCCCAGGTAAGGCTCCCTTACCAGCATCTGGCCAGGGTGAACCCAGCAGTGTGCAGGGAGGTGGCAACTCCACTGCCAGGAGGTCTCAAGGGCAGATGGGACTCAGCCCCCCAGCAGCTCACTTTGCTCCAACCAGGAGGCCATGGGAGCCCTGTGGAATTTTTGCCCTTAGTAGACAGCAGCAGCTGTGGAGTGCAGCCTTCCAAAGGTGCAGACGGAGTAGGCCAAGGCCTCTCCACAAGTGACAATCTGGCCTGTGTGAGGCTCTTGCAAAAAGCCTTGAATCCTTAGATCTGAGAGAATGTGCAGGAAGGTGGAAAAAAATAGAAATTAAGCAAAATAATGGCTTCGAACGGAAAATGTTATTGTAGTCAGGTATCTGGTTTATGCAAATTAGTACACATTATTATGCAAACGAAGTGTAGCTAACTTACTTTTCTAAATCAGGCACCACCATGGATTCATTTCTCTCCTTTTAGTTCCCTGGTCCTGGGCTTTCAGAGTGCAGAATGCCGTCAAAAGGGCCCAGAACACATGTGCTGGAAACTGGTGTGGCCTGTGCCTTCCTAGCCTCTGCACAAACCTTGCCTGTTGCTCCTTGACAAAGGACATGCCATGGTGGCCAGGGCTGGGAAGGAGGTTCACAGGGGAGGGAGGGCTGAGGTCCAGGAGCCACTTTCCCTGTGACAAGTCCACAATTCCCACGGCACAGGTGTTCGGCAGCAAATTCTCTGAAGCACGCCTGGCTCTTCCCTGAGCCTCCTGCTCTGTATCTGAGGGTGGGAAGCCTGCTTCCTCTTTAACCTGACAGATGTTGGCTGTGGCCAGCAGCTACTTGAGGAGTGGGGAGGGAAGGATTTAGCTGGAAAGAAGGTGCTACAAACTAAGAGAGGAGGTCTTCCTGGGCTCTTGGAGGCTAGGGGAGGCCTTTGGGTTGGGCTCTTGATCATGTGTTTTCAATCTGCTTCTACCAGGGCCTCAGCACAGCCACCAAGGACACCTATGATGCCCTCCACATGCAGACCCTGCCTCCCCGCTAGCAGCCAGAGGACTCTGCCTCTCGAGAGCCTGACCTACTGACGCCCAGATTGTGAAGCACATAGGGTTAAGCATTCATACCAAAGTGTTCCTGTATGAATAGGGTGCCTCCAGTTGTAACATTTGGTCTTCTCCAATCCCAAACCATCGCACACAGAACACCACCCTAGAACTTCCCTAGGGCGAGTCCTGCCGCTCCAGGCTGGCCGGCCTGCTCTGGGATCTTCTGGCTTGCTGGTGACAGTAGACAGGCCCGCTGCCCTGAGGTTCTAGCCCCTGGCTGAGGGGCAGCTGCCCTGTCTCTCAGAGCTCACTTGTTCTGTTTTGTGAAGTCCCCAGGGAAACCCCCAGTGTTAGTTAATGCACACCCTTTCTGTATCTTTCTGTCCAAATTCGACTGGCTTTGCTCCTGCTGTAAATTTGGATTCTGTTGTCAACTTTTCCTCCTTTCAAGGTAGCCTGTTACAGGGCCAGCAGCTTACTGCCTGCGGAGGTGGCCAGGGGTGGGGCGGCAGGGCATGGCAAAGGCTTTGAAGAGTGGGAGGCCCCTGCCATGAGGAGTCTGAATGCCAGGTGCCCCAGGGAGTGAGGGATGGACAAGAAAGCCACCCTTCATGGAGTTCACGCCCCGGGGCAAGAGTTGGCATGACAGCATGGGAACCACAAGAAGCATCGTCCTGGAGGATGAGTGAGAGAAGGTGCAAGCTCGGCCTTCTCCCACTCCTGCCTTCACCCACGCTTGGCCTGAATGGCAAGCTGTCCTTGCAGAGATCTTGAAGATGACCTGGCACCATGTAGCCCCTTGAGCATCCCTGTGGGCTGGGGTGCCATGGGAGAAAGTCCCAGTGGTTCCTAGAGACTTGCTGTGTGATTAAAATGCACGTCTATGGCGAGAAACCCCTGTCTGCTCCGATTGGTTTTAATTTATACTGGTTTGCTGGAGCCTGTTTTGCATAATAAATGCTTCCATGAAAATGCTGCTTACCCTAAGCTGTATTCCAGCACTCATCTGTTAACCTGCATGTGGGGCAGCCAGCACCCTGGGTGTTGCTGTGGGGCAGCATCCTGAGCATTAGGATTGGTGGCTGGGCCTTGGGAGTGAGAACAATGCCCAGTGCAATGGGATGGCAGAGCCCAGAGGGTGACAGGAAAGGCACCTGGCTTCTGGAAGCAGGGAGACTTGCAGGAGAGGAGCCAGGAAGAGGTCTGCTGTGGACAAGCCTATGTCTTGTGGCAAACAGCCACTGACCACAGAGCCAAGTCTCAGTCCATAGGCTTCGGGGCCAGCAGTGGCAGACAACTGGTCTTACAGGTCGGCTTCCTTCATAAAGGTGGCCCTGCCCAGCAGCATTTCCTTTACCTCAAGTGGCTCCAAGTCATGTCCAACCATTTTTATCACACAAAGATTGGACTTTCTCAGAGAAGTTCAAGGTCCTCTACCAATGGACCCTTGAACATTTGGGGCTCCAACAACAATTCGCATCACTGAAGGGTACATATTTAAACAGGCAACTCACAAGAAGCCCCTCAATTTGTGATCCAGTTTTGCGGAATTCTACTCACTGGGCCTGGAAAGCTGACATTCATTTGTGTTAGTCAAAACGGTGAGCCTCCTACCTGGGGCTTGCACAGTCTGTATAATCTGTGTGGCTCATATGAAAGTAAGTTTGGCCCAATTCTGTGTGTCTCAGGAAAGTGGGGAGAGCTGGCCGTGAGCTATGGGAGGGGGAGTGTAAAAAAAACAGAGGAAGGCCGTTAGCAGAGAACCGAGCTGGTGAAGCCACCAAGCCAGTCCTTGGGGGGATCACACGTCGGGATCCAAGGAAACAGTGGCTATTTCTGGGTCTGGATTTCTGCCCTTCCTGGGATCTCCAGTGCCTTCTCTACAACATGACTGAATTTCCTCCCTCCCAGAGACATTAGCAAGTGTAAGTACCACCAACTTATTCCAAGGAAAAAACACTGTTACAAACCAAGATCCACTATCAAGACATATGAGATCTGATGGGAAGTACAACGAATGTTTAAATGAAAAAGTTATTACAGTAAAAGACACATTGCGGTGAATCCCCCTCAAAACACTCCCCCTTCTTTGAAGACACTTATCCCATTTTTCCTGCTACTTTTCAAGGCAGTTTCAAAATGGCTCTTTTCAGTCTTTAGTCACACTGTTGTGGCTGCCTCAGTGTCTTCAGTCTATTCAAAACATTTACCTTTTACGGTCATTTTGACTTTGGGGAAGAGCCGGAAGTCACTCTGTGCCAGATCTGGTGAATGAGGTGATGGGGACACACTGTGATGCGTTTATGAACCTGCCTTTCTGCTGGATGTCACTTGGCAGCATCATTCACTGTATTTTTGATCAAACCTGTACACACTGGTAGGAATTTCCGGAACTGCTTCAGAGAGTAGTAAGAATGTTAGGATAAGTGTGTTTGAAGCAAGGGAGAGGATTCTGAGGGAGATTAGTGGCAATGAGTCTTAAACATTCATGTTATACCGCAATCACACCTCACAGTCCCCTTTCACGTGTTTAAATGTAGACATGTGCCTTAAAATCAAAACATGACATTAACGTGAATTGAGGGACCAAGGTATTATATATAATATCTCAGTATCAGTTTTTTTTTTCCTTAGAGTAAAACTTGGGGTGTTTCATGGAAGAAACTTGATGCTGCTGGCGAACAGAGCTGTACTGAAACACACCAGTGGCTCCCACCCTGGTCTGTGGAGTGCAGGCAGGTCCTTCCTGCGGGGCTCCTACAAATACATCTGCCTTTTAAGGACTACAGGTTAGAGCCTAGTCAGTAATTTGTCTGCATTACTGACAGTGTGACAGGGGGTTTGTTTGCTGAAATCTTTATGTTAGGCAGCATGCCACTGTCTCTGCCAAACACAGGGTTTCTTATGACAGGCTTGGTAGTGTGCACCTGTAATCCCAGCACTGTGAAGCTGAGGCAGGATGAGCGTAAGTGAGCCCAGTCTGGGCAACTTAGCAATTTCGTGAGACTCTGTCTCAAAAAAGAAAGGTCTGGGGATAAAGGGTGAAGATTCAGGGTTCCAACCCCAATACTGGAAAAAATTTTGTTTTTTACAAATTTATATGAAAAAAAATACAAGGGAAGAAATGGAAAAGGAGTTATTTGATAAAGGAGCAAGGGAGATGACTGAGTATTTGTCTTTATGTTTTTGTACCTCTACAAGACCACAGCTTCCACTTGACAGCAAAGCTCTGTCTTGGAATTCATGGAGAACATACATCAGTCAGGTCTGTCAGCACAGGACGGACAGGGACACTTAAGCAAATTCTCTCCAACAAGCTCAAGTTTTCTGTGAGACACTTTATAGGTTCAAGTTCTCCTTTTTATGAACTGTGGACCCTACATGGAACCTAGGGAGCTAATCTGTGCATCCTTGCCAGGTGGGTGTGACTGGCCTCCTACAAGTGCCTGGCAGAGGTACCAGCTGGCCCTGGCATCGGACAGTGACCTGGGAAGGAAGCTCAATCCTGGAAGGGATGCAGCCCCATGGAGCCCTTAAGAATCTCCTTGCAGGATCAATCAAGGGCTGGTGTTTGATCATATAGAGTCTCTGGCCTGAAACAGGTCGGCTGAGACTGAATTCAGGATTTCACAGCACCCTGCTCACACCTAGAGAGGGTAGCTGTGAGGAGAAAACCCAAAGAGCAGGGCAAGGCCAGTGAGCTTGCAGTGGGCCAGGGTTTCCTAGGGAATCTGCCAGGAAAGGGAGATAGAAAGGCTTCTATCTGTGAGAAGATGTGTGAAGCATCCAGGAAAGCAACACAGTGACTTCAGAGAAACTCCAACAATGTGAAAACACTTGGAAAATGGTTTAATGACGTTTTACAACAGAAACGAACTGTACAGTTACAGTAAGTTTAATATATATATATAAAAATTACAGCAGACAAATGCATCTACACAAAGTCTACCATTTCATTCAGATTCACTGGCACCTACACAATCTCTCCCAGCCTACAGCCCCCTGCAGGCAGCCCCAGGAGGGGGAATCATAAAGGGCACTTAACAGAGACAGCACCACTCATAGTCCCACCACCTCCTCAGGCCTCAGGAGGCATCAGCTAATTCCCCACCTTGTAAAGTCGCCTGTGTTTCAGGTTTGCAAGACCAAGAAAATGTGTTTCCAAGGGGGCACAGATAACAAGGTCCAGTGTTCCCAGTTATCAACTGATTCTTACAAAACATTCCTAGCAGGGGAAATGGCTAAACAGGCGCTCTGGGGCAGTGAGGCTACACAATAGCCACCCAGAATGCAAAGTCATCTAGGAGAAATGTAAAAGGACTCCCAATAAACTACTTAGAAATTGTCACTGCCTCCCATTAAAGCTGCTGGACAATTCTGGAAAGAATCATTTACACCACATCTTAAGTTTCCACAAAGAAGAACTCAAACTCACATTTTAAAGTACATAAAACAAAAAGTTTTGGGAGGCCAAGGGGCTAATTCCCCTTGTGTCTCTCCCTTGACAACAGTGGAAAAACACCCCTGAATCGATATTTAAAAAAAAAAAAAAAAAGGAAGAAAAGGTGTGGGAGTTAAGATATTTAAAGACAGAAAACATCTTTAGAAAAACACGATCACTGTCTCTTTAAGACAAAACAAAACCCAAGTTGGGCACATTAATCAGTGACTATGCAATCCAATTGACACCTGGTAGAGGATTATTATTCAATACTATGTACACTCAGAACTTTTTCATTTTCTTTTTTATTATGAACACCTAGGCAGTGAAAACTGTTATGTTAACATACATAGACACACCCAAAACATACAAAAATACTATTATTTCAAACTACTAGGAATAGGACAGCTCAATTATTTTCATGCTATGACTTTTAAGAGCATTACACTGAAACAAACAAGAAGTTAAACGACATTTTTTTTTAATATCCCAGAAATATACCAAAATATACATCTAAGCTTTGGAATTACTGAGGTTAGACTAATGCAAGTGCTGGGTAATCGTACTTAATACACAAGTCTAAGGTTCTGCAGGAAAGAGATTATCTTTGGTATCTGCATCAGGCTAATATTATTAACATTTGGATTTTGCTTTGGGATAGAGCTTGTATGACCCTAGAACCAAATACCCCCCTCCCCAATCAACTGAGATTAAAAAGATCTGTGTAAAAAGTTCCTTCATTTGCAATCCCCCCGCCCCCCAAGTTAAAAAGTCACAGGCATCTACCTAGCACAAAAGGTTGTGAAATACAATGCATAGTTGCACAGTGGTGCTGCAAAAAGGAACCAAAACTACAATAAAGAGAAACGAAAAGCTTGATAATCATTCTGCAGGTTTTCTCAAGAACAGGATAGCCACTTCCAAGCAGTTCCAGTAAAGGAAAAGAGAAAAAGGCTCAGAAGGGCCTCTCCGCTCGCCCGCCCCGCCCCAGGTGAAAGCACCCAGCAGAGCAGCCAATCCTGCGCCAGTGTCTCCAGCGCCCCACTCTGTGGAGTCCTTGGCCAGTCCCGCAGCAGCAGCTGGGCGCCCTAGACCCTGTGCTGGATCCCCGCGGTGACCCTGGCTGTTACTGTGGTGATGGGGTTTTGGCTTTTGTTTTCAAAAGTCTGAAATGCCAACTGGTTTTGTGGCGTGGCCACAAGCTGCGAAGACTAGGTTCGCGCACCCGGCCGCCAGAGGCCCCCTGCCTGCCCCTGCCCTCCCTCCTCTAAGTGCCAGGACACCACAGACTGGATTGATGCTGAAGACGTCCCTTTTCTTTGGTTTTTTTGTTTGTTTTGAGTTTATACAATCATTAAGAAATCTTTGGTTTTGGCTGGAAATTTAAAAAAACAAAACAAAACAAAACAAAGAAACCACCCTCCCCTGGCTTATAGCAGCAGAATTATGACCTGGCTAGGCTTCTGTTCAACTTTAAGGGTGGGAGTTGAAGGCTGAGAACTACATTCAAAGAAAAGGTGAAAGGGCAGGGGATGCAGCTTCTAGAGAGCCTGCTGGATAGAAGATTGTCAAATAATAATAATAATAATAATAAAAACTTAAATATTTGGATTATTTTCTTTTTGGTCATGTCAAAGGAAAAAAGTGAAACCCATATGCAGCAGTCGGCTTAAAGGAGCCTTTGGTGTCTTCCCTTCTACCCCAAGTTCTGCAGATACACAGAAGCCTGTGGCCTCCGAGGAGAGGGGTGGCCTCCACACACAGGGCAAAGGACAGACCCTTAAGTGTGGCCTCCAGTCAAGATATGGGGGGACGGGGGGGGGGGGGGCGCGGGGCGCGGGCAGAGCAGCCCTGAAAGGCAGCTTGGCAGACAGTGGATGTGATGAGATCTGTGAGCAGAAACAGAAGATTGCAATTTGCCCTTGGGTTTGCAGTAGCTTTCAAGCAGTGACATTCAGAGGCTCCAGGAGGTCCCACCCTCAGCTACAGGTCTCACGATGCTATAGGCCAGAGTTCAACAGTACAGAGAGGAGGGAGGGCAGACTTGGCAACTCTGTAGGGCTGAGGGGAAATTAAAGCAAGTGACACAGTCACGACTTAGAAATGAGGTATACAACAGCTCCTGGACGTGTGGTGGGCAGGAAAACCCACGCTTACTCACCTGGCCCTCGCCACTACCACAGATGAGGGGGATGGGGACTTCTTCCTGCAGCAGGACCTCCTGTGGACTGGGTAATGCACACTGCTGTGCAAGCAGAGGTAATAAGCTGTTACACGTTTGTTTTTCTTATCCCCTATCGGATTTCAGAGACCACTTTTTCTGTTGTAAAAGTCAGTATTAGAAAATGGTTGCAAAGTGTCCTGATTCCTCTTTTCATTCCTCCACTGAGGCTGGAATTAGGCACTCTACTGAGGAGATACACACTTCTGCATGTCTCGCAGGAACGGAACATCACGGCTCCCCCAAGCAGTCTGAGACCTCCGTGTTCCTAACAGATGCTGTCATTCCAATCTCTGAAGGTGCATTTCATTTCCTCCTCTTTTTTTTTTACACCTTGAGATAGTTTTAGGGCTAGATGGGAGTTGGCTCTGTCCCTTTTCATTCAAAAGGAAACTTCTGAATGAAACTTTGTTCTTAAGGAACTAAATGGTCAGATGTCTCATATTTTTTAATAGCTCTGTACTCAGCTGTCTGCCTACAGACTAGGATAAAATGTTGGAGAGTTCAATGCCGCTGCTAATTTGTGAAAAAACCCTTAAGCTGCTTTTGCAAGGCTGTGGCCAACTAAAATAATGATGAACAAGTAAACAAAGAAAACATGGAGAAACTTTGCAGCAGACCTCAATATTTTTTGATAGTAAGTTAGTTTGGGGGTCTTAAATTTCTGACAGTGTCCTGTGTGTGAACCAGAAGGTGGCACTATGCGCAGACTCAGGGACACAGAAAGAATTATCCATATTTTCTCTCCCCAGCCCCTGGAAGCTTTACTTCCAGACTCAAATCCTTGTTCTTCACACACTTTATTTTCCTATCGCCTTTGTTTCAAGTGCTCTTGTCTTCCCTATCCCTATTACCTACATATAAATCTACCTAATGCTTTGAAAAGTCACACAACATTAATACAACTTTTACATAATGTCAGAACAATAAAATTACTAGGAAAGCTTCTATGAAGTTCTGCAACCTGATCATTTTGATGGACTATTCAGAGAACAATATATTATTTTCCTCTCTTCCTCTTTGTCCTATCAATACTACACTAAAACAGTGAACTACTCAACTTCTGAGAGCCATATTATAAAAACATTTTGGAATAAAACAGTTCTATGGAAGAATAAGGGAAAATCTTTTGGTTTTCCATGTAATCCAGCTCTTGAAATGCTTCTTCAAGAGACAGAACAGAGACAGTACATCTAAACCATTGTCTTAACTCAAAGAGGTTGTTTTGGTTCTATTTGTAAGTATGCTCTAGATAAAGAAATAAAATAACTCTACTCTCATTTTTTGCATTCTTAAAATTTCTTAATTCCAAGAACATCACTGCTACACTGAGCAATTAATTCTATCCATCTTTACAGAGTCAGCAGAGTGAACCAAAATAAATCTCTTTGCCAAAGCCAGATAATCAACAAGCCTTCCAAAAAGTAGAGAAGAGGCAAAAAGAGAAAGAAAAGAAACAAGGTAAAGCTTTACTGAATTTCAACCTTTTGCTCCTATTCCCTCTGCCTGTTTTGAAACTAAGGACAAAAAGTGACACAGCAGTGTCTTTGGAATCCAAACCAAATCTCACTTCAGTAGTATGAGATGGGATCATTTATTTAAAACAAAAATGCCTATTTGGAGATTTAGTTTGTATCAAAACTCTGGGAGCCAAGAAAATGTGGTATATAGGCAGAGAAAGACTGAATTCTTTTAAAACCAACATCACTTCTCACTCACACTGCACCTAGAACATCACCACCTTCTATCCTACCAACCAACCAATCCTTAAAAGCACACCTTATCACAGGTGCAAAGTGAGAAGGTTAGCTTTTAATTATTTGATTTGGCTTTTCTTCTGTATATGCTTTTGTTATAGGTAGAACAAGCTTTGGTATTAAAAAATGGTTATAAAAGCTGGGCTACTAGCACAACATTCAGTAACCAAGGGTAACTAAAAGAACTTGTCTCACCCTTACATTAAGATGCAACAATTCTCCATTCCTCTCCAAATTAGTTGGTGCATTTCTTTCTGTCTTTATTTTTCTTCTGCACACCTAGACTTTTACACATTTGTATTTTACCTAAGCCTTTGCTCTACATACAGACGTAATGAATCCTTAGGAGAGGCTGTAGATCCGGGGAGCATGGGCAGCCATAGGAAGGGTTATAAATGTGCCTGAACCTATTGGACACTCCACATGTCACCTGCATGCCACCACACACTGTGCTGCAGATCAGACCATAGAGGCCAATAAATCCTAAACTGAATCACAGGGGAATATCAAGTTTCCTTTGGCAAGATAGATATAAAGAAAAGCATACACGAGCAAAATTCCCACCCTAACCCTATAAACTGTAACCTATAAACAGGATCCCAAATACACACAGCATCAGTCAGGTTTATCAATCATAATAAACGTTAGTTTAACTAAATACTACAGCTAGAATTATTTCCACTACTAATAAAGCTTCTATTTTATTTGGTATTTAGTTTAAAACCAGTTTGATAACATTGCCTAAGCTATGCTGAGGTATCTTATGAAGGTGCCAGAAGCTAACTGTCGCCCACGAGTATTAACGTTACAGATTAAGGTACCACCATTCAAAGAGAAAAAAGTGTGAGGGAAAGGAGGAAGCGAGATCCAGAGTACGGAATCAACGTGAGATTCACTCCAATTTGCTGATTTTCACCAAGGCCAAGAACAGAAGAACCAACTTAAGGAAACAATTCATAAAATAGGATGAATAGAAGAGAGCTACGCTTGGCAGATCACACAAAAAACGGCAGAGTGGACAACTGTTGAGAAATGTATTTCCTGCCCTCCTAGTAGGATCCTTTTAAGCCTTGCTGGAAATTTCATGGAGTCCCATTTAACCTCTTTGGACTAAGAAAAGGATAATAGGATTCATATAGGCTTTTAGTAATGAAAGCAATTTATTTATCCTATTTCTGTCCAAGATTCTGTACTATAGCTGCTATCCATGCAAACCTATCTTCCCTAGAGGAACAGCACAGAAATTTTTTTCCTCCTTAAAACTGAAGATAAATATGAAGAAAGATTTACCATTTTATAGTGTCATCGTCAAAATGTTAGTGACAGGAAATGACTTCAGAACAAAGGACTATGATTATGTGAACAATGTTTCACACTAAATGCTCTCCACACACACACACACACACACACACACACACACACACACACACGAACTCTTGATGGATATGAACGAATTCATCTATCAAATCCTGCTCACATGGCTGATTTTAAATTTCTGGTCTTCAGTCTTTTTTGCCTATTAGTATCAGCAGTCTTACAATTTTTTTTGGCTCTAGTAGTTTGAAGAATAAAGAAACTTGAAATTCATCACATTGCAACGCTGACTTAGGGGGAAAGCACTTGACAAACTCTTGAGGGACTGTGACTGCAGAGTGGCCGCGAGGGCTCCCTGCTCCCCTTCCATTCCCAGCAGCTCTTCTTTTCCTGGGAAGAAATGTAAGAGAGAATCTTTTCCTCAGTTTCCCTTTTCTGCTACAATTACTTCTAGGTCAAGAAAGATCCGTGAGGATGACCCATATTGGAAACAACAGACTATGGAGTTTCTCTGTAAGCCAGGTGTTCACTGTATACTAATTGAAACGTCTTCTGCCAGGATTCTCAACTTTAAAAACTGACACAAATTCCTTGTATTTGCAGGTGCATCTAGCTTTTCCAGAAAGTTAAATATAATTTTACAATAAAGACTGGATTGAATTTAAATATTGTGTCAAGCATCTGTGCTTTCAGATTATTTTCCTTACCTTCCCAAATACATGAAGACAAACGGACAAAGTAACATTAAAAAGAGGTATAATTGTGCTTTTTTCCCCCCAAGAACAAATGAATGATGTAGAACAAGTTGGCAAGATAAGCTCGCTAAAAATCTTTTAATGGATATTTTCCCTTTTAAAAATATTAATTTCTGGTAATGCTACCAATATAGGTGTGGTTCTATGAAAAATGGAAATTGAATTCCTTTGGTTCCATTCTTGAGTGACAAGCTAAATAAACTGGGATGGTTTTGACCTTTATGACAATAAATAAAAGAGAGTGCATATTACCTCATTTAGTGGATATAAATAATTCTTTCTTAATTCTAAAAAGCTGTCTATTGAACCTCAGAACATTTCAACTAATACAGCTTATTTCAATTTATTTCCTTTAAACTCATCTTAGAATAATAATACTATTTCTGTGAGAAGCCCCCTTTTTAGGTCTTTCTGTTCTTTCAGATTTACATAGGGTATAAAGTTCATGACCAAATTGCATTGCTTATGATAAGCACAGTTTACAATTACATTCACTACTCCTTCAGTAGGGGCCCATTATCATGGGCAAATACAGTATTACTATGAATGTATTTAAAATTAGTCTTTGGCTTAATATGTATTAATCAAATTCAGGGAGGAAATAAAACTTTCATAAACACTAAGAGTAAGAAAAGAAGAATGATAACAAGAACTGTAACAACTATCTGGCCTTTCTTCCAAATGTGTAGACTCTATCAAAGAACTCTTTTTGGTCAAATGACCCTTTGAATTTGCAGATTTCCCTCTAAAATGTGGCTTAAAGTTAGGTCTGAGTACCTTAGCTTAGGAGATAGTTCATTCAATTCAAAAAGTACTTCTCAAGATGATATGAAATAAAAAAAGGACTAAGGTGTTCATGACGCAAGCATGATTAACAGAATATCTAGGGCTAATGATGGAGAGCTGATCTGAAACGAAGCACGCACCACCAAGCTATATTAGTGTTTCACGTATACACGTGTGAAAAAGTACCTTCTATTCCATAACTTACTTTTAAATATGCAAAATAAGAAAAAAATTTAAAGTTATTTTTGTTTAAAGATTTAATTGTTCTTTTAAACAGATTTTTATGCTGGTTTAAGATCTACCCTCATCAAGTGATCCACATTAAAAAAAAGGGATTAGAGACTAGACACAGACAGTGTAGGGACTACTGTGCTGATGTTTAAAGCTTAGTATTTTCTTTAACACTAAAGACTATTGGTGAATGCTGTGTGGAAGAGTGATCATTTTTTTAATCACAAAAACCAAAACCAACAACTGGCTTTTCGTGTCTTTCATCTTAACTTACTGGGCTACAGTCCCTTGAGACCTCACACTTTCCTTTGGTAGCAATTTGGGGAAATTAATGCCATAACCTCTAATCCAATATGGTGGGTATTAGCACTTCCCTCCCTGAATCCTTCCTCTTAACTTCTATATTCCCATTGGAGGGACTCTTCATTACAGGTAACTACAGCATTATCCACAGTCCTAAAATCATCTGCACAGATTAAAGTTAGAGACTTCAAGCCATGGGAGAAGATTTCCTTTAAGTACAAAAGAGAAAAGCTGATAGAGAAGAGAGAAATTAGTAACTGACACTGCCATTCTATTTACACACAACCTAAATATACTAGTTAAAAATCAAGGTAATGTCTGCCCAGAGGGTATTACAATTTATCAACACAAAAGATTAAAAACAAGCAGCAACTTTTATATAAAATTAATAAAGACAAATGAAAAAGAAATTGTCAGTAGCATCTATCTCCTCAATGTGTCTGAACTGCACGTTATAAACTATTCCATTAGTACAGCAGCTTGCTAAAATTTGACTTTGGTTCAAGCTTAGTTTAAAAATAAAAACATTAAAAAACAAAACAAAACAAAACAAACCACCACACACCACAAAAAAACAGGTGGATGGACATTTGTTAGTTTCCCTGCTTGCAGTTCACTGATTTTAGAGGGATTTGAGAGAAAGTGAAGGGTATGAAAAGGAAATGGGGAGGGGAGAGAGTAATTAAATACTTTTGAGAAAAACGAGACAGAAGAAACTAAACAAAAATTTAAAAGGGGACTAAATGTTTCTGACCTTTAATATTAATATGACTGTCTGCCACTTGAGTCACAAACAAAGGTACACATTTGTGTCTGCATTACTGCCTTTCTGAACAGTGGTGAAGAGAGACAAATAGATGAATCTCAGCTCCCTTGCGGCCACAAGCAAAGCAGTCAAAAGGAAAGTCACCTGTTAGATCTTTCTTAATCCCCACCACAAAAGGGGGACAAAGTACAGTCTTGGGACCACTGGAGATTGAACACCAGACACCAAACAGGAACCTTTAACTCCACTCTGAAGGATAATGTAGATAAGCTACACTGCAGTGGTCCAGTCTCTCGAGAAATTTTTTGGTACAGATACTGTAATAGTACACTGGTAAAAAGGGGAATTTAATTTCTAAGTGACCCTCATTCCTTTTTACCTACTTTACAAGCTCTTTCTTTTCAATGGGCTCATTTATGTAGTCCAGAAACACCCTGAAAACAATGACAGGAGCCAATCACTTTCTACACTGAATAAAGAGATTATGCACTGTCGTTAGACCCACCTAGCAGGAGCATCCCAGAAAAGCCAGGAACTATGGTGTGTGCAAAGTTCCTGCTTAGCCTTTCTGCACAGGTTTACGGACCCCAATACAGTGTGGCCAGTAAGTGCCTCTGTCACAGAATAGAGGAGAATCTCAGGGTTTGAGCAAATTATAAGCCATTCAGTGGACAGAAGTCTGGGGCTCTTTAGAGGAAAAGGTGGCAACCTCAGATTCTTCTCCTCCACCTCTTCTGGATATGTAATTGATGGGAAATACTCTAGTAGAATTCCTTCAGAAAACAAAAGGGAAATGTTTCCCAATTTCAACAGGTTAATTTGTTCACTGCCAAGTAAAAGTTTAGATGAAAAACTTTCATAAAATGGAACACACAAACACATACATCAACAGTAGGAGCATTTTTCAGGACATAAGAAATCAGGAGAACCACCGAGTCAGGTGTCTGCAGTAGTCTTTGCTCTTCAGAACCAAACCCTGTTCTGCAACATGTGCGGCTGTTCCCATTTGAAGTAGCAGAAAGCAGCACTGTTGCACCACAGGACCTGGGCCTCAGGGCCATTCCATGATTTGGGGTGAGAGCTACAGTTCAGCAGGAATTCCTTCCTACACAAAAGTGCTCCAAAGGCACCACCTGATGGGGGAGGGGCGTGTGTGAAGTGGGAGTGTTTGCACACACTGCCTTCAGCTTCTGCACCAAGCCTCTTGCATAAGTGGCAAAAGAAAATAATTTTCTAGCACCTCTGTAAGAGTCATCAAGGATAAGGAAACCAGCAAGAACATTCCCCACAGTTAAGAACGTTGAGACTCCCCTTACCCCAAAACCCTCCCTCCCCACAGTGTGGGAGCTCACTGAAATAGGATCCAGGAGCGAGAGATAAACATGTCCAAACTCTCTCTATATATAAAAACAATAATAACAACAACAATAATAGAGATACAGTAATACAGGCCTGCCTAAATTGTACCAGTTAAGAAAGGAACCCCCAACACAATTGATACGATTATAAACATCTTGTTATGACTTAACGGCCTGTACAACAGACCCATAAAAATGATTTTTTTTTTTTTAAGAAAAAAGAAATTTAGACAAACAAGAAATCCCCTTCCTATATTGGAATTGGTAACCCACCTTGTCATCATGACTGCTGGAAATGATACGTAGTCCTTTCACTTATTTGTTTTCAATTTTTTTTTTTTTAAATTTTTGGTTAGAAAGTTCTCCCCATCCATGAAGCAATCCTGAAAAGACAGTGCTTTATTATAAAATTAGGCAAATGTTGTCTGTCTCTGTTTTTTCTGGTATGTGTATTTTTCTTCTCTTTTTTGTCTCCTTGCCCTCACAACACTGTGAAGGAAAGCTGATCACATTTTCAGTTTACCAACTGGCTGGCAGCCTGATCCCACTGCAGTGACGAAGGCTTGGGCGGCTGGCTCTGTGCCCAGCTCACTGTGCCTTGGAAGCCGTGGTGGTTGTGGATGCAGCCCCACTGGCAGAGGCCACTGTGAAGAGAGAGTTTTGCACGGACTCCGCGGAGGTGGAGGTGGCGTGAAGGCTGGCAACAGGTGCTGAGTTCCCTGTGGAGGCAGCAGCAGCAGAAACCAAGCTAACCGGGTTGCTGGTGAGCAGAGAGAGATTCTGAGGGTTCAGAAACAGAGGGGCAGTCACGATGTTGGGGGCTCCTCCAGCATTAGCGAACACCAGGTTCCCAGTTGCATCCAGTGATGTTATTGGAAGAGAGCCACCAGAAGCAAGAGCTACAGGTGAGACCCAAGAAACAGGCAGGAAAAGAGAAGGTCAACATCATCCTGGAACAGTTAGGTAACATGTCATCCAAGTCTCACCGAGTTAACTCTCATGTAAGTGGCAAAAGAAAGTAATTTCCTAGCATGTCTGTAAGAGTCACCAAGGATAAGGAAACCAGCAAGAACATTCCCTGCAGTAATAATTTTAAGTCTCCCCTTAGCCCAAGGAAAAAGTGTATGTTCACTAGTTTTCCCTTAATTGCAGTGCTACATTGGTACCAACTTATAACTCTAAGGAGCATAAAGGACAGGAAAATCTAAATATGACAAGGGTAAGCTAAAGACAGTTAGTTATAAGAACTAAGGAACTGGTTAGTCATGCTTCTATCTTTAAATTTCAATTTCGTTTATCTAGAAATATCTGTTAAATTCAGTAATTTTGTCTCCAATGAAGATTATCAATTTTAAACTACTTCTGTTCAAAAAACAACTAGTATAGTGATTAAAGCAGTCAAGAGTATATTTTGCTCTTATCAAATCAATTGGCATTATTGATAAATTTAAGCAAACATTATACAAGATAAAAATCTTATTTCAAAAAGCCTTTAGTTAAAAGTTACAAGTCACCATATAAAGTAAAAGGTGTTGGGGGTCGGGGACTTAGCTCAGTAGAGTAAGCACCTGGCTGGCAGGCACAAGGTCATGAGTTTGATCCCCAGTACCAAAAAAAAAAAAAAAAAAAAAAAAAAAAAGTTTGGCTAATTTTTCACATCAAGGGGCAAAATATTTGACTTCCAGGGCTTGTCAAAGCAGAAGGATGAATTCACTGTAAAGAAAATCAGAGACACGATGATGCAGGTGGTCCTCGGTGGGTGTTTTAAGGTTGGGCCTTGGCTTCATGGTACAGAACTTTGCCCTGATGTTGTTCACTGCTTTTCCACTGCAGGTATGGCTAAACCTTTTAAAAAGTAATTAGTAATTTTACTTTTTCAAATCCCTCATGCAAATAATCTCACTCCCACATTCAGATCTGCAGATTTTCTGAATGGTATTAAAATCTGGTTGATTTTTACAGAACACCAAGCTGAAAGGAATATCTCTGATTTTAGATGTGATCACAGAAACAGTGAGATTTGGTATAGCTTGATGTTTTCTGAGATTCCAGGCCCAGTTAAAGACCAATTCTATACCTTCTCAGACAGTGCTCAATTCATCTCTGATTTGGCTAATTAGAAAATCAATATAAGGCAACCTAGGCCACAATCTGATTTTCTCTGTAACATTTTCTATAGTATACTGTTAGACACACTAATCTCAAATGAAGTTGGCTGACAGATTAGTTTAGGCTCCAAGCATTTTCATTTAAGAACCAAGTATTTTAATTTTAAGAAAACATTCTGATTAATAGTGATGTTTCCCTGAATAATTATTCCTCTGAGTCACACAGTATCAAGCACCTCTAGATACTTAGCATGGTGAATCCTTCACTGTATGAAACTGTCCTGACTAACACAGGGAAAGACTGACAGATCCAAATGGGCTGGGCAGAGACTGTATAACCTAAGAGGGACATGTGCTCTGTGCTGATGGGGACACAATAAGGACAGAGTCTAAGTAGCATTAAAGATATTCATAAAATCTGCCTGATGTGCTCTTCTGGTCACTCATTATAGGACTTTCCTGTCCACACTGATCTTAGAGGCAAGGATGGGGACCGAAGATCCTACTTGGTCAAGTCTGGCTTGAGAGAGGTTTTAGATGAATATGTGGACAAACTTTATTTGGAGGAAAAAAACCTCTGCCTTAAAAATCAATTCACTATTATTTATTTTTATACTAGGAAGACAATATGATATTTACAAATATGAATCTGATTTACCTAACTTATGAGTAGTCTTAAGCTGCCACCATTTATCTATAAAAGCTTCAAGATTATCCTTTTTATAGCTGAATAACATTTCATTGTAAAAAAATACTGCATCTTTTTTACCCAGTCTATGGTTGATGGGCATTTAGGTTGTTTCCAAAATTTAGCTATTTTTTAATGCCTACATCTTATAACCGGGACAACTACTTCTAAGATAACAATATGCAATATAATAACTAGTGTTGATTTCTTACTTTTTTAAAAAAAATTCTGAATTGTTTCTATGCTTTTTTTTGGTTTTGCTTTTTTAAAATAAAAAAAAATCTATTCATGTAGGAAGATAATATCACATAGAGTCCTGGCTTCTTATGTTTTGTAAATGAATACCTGTACTTTTCTTTTATAAAACTTTTTAAAATGAAAACATTTTCTTGGGCTTCAAGAACAAGTCAGCTGAAGTTTGTTAGCATTCAACTACCTTTCCTCAGCTGTAACAAAGCAGGTTTTCTCCACTACACACACACATACATGCACACACACACACACACACACACACACACACACACACACAGCGCAAGCAAAAACAAGGTACTGACCTTGAATAGTTGCCAGTGTACTGTTGCTCATTAGAGCGGGGCTGAGAGCACTGCCCAGGGTCCCTGGGTTGAGACTGAGTAAGGCACCTCTGTAAGTTCAAAAGAAGGATCACATTCAGTGCGTGCTCATCTATCATTTTAACAACACTTCCGAAGGAAGAAAGAATAGGAAACTCTAGGGATGTATACAGTAATCTGGCATTTTCTCTCTACTTTGATACAGTTTGCTTAGTGCTTCTGCTTTAGTGCTTCCTAGATGCTTACTTGCATGCAAAATGTAAAGCTTTTTTTTTTGTCTTTTTCCTTTTTATCGGTACTGGGGATCGAACTCACGACTGCCTGCTTTCAAGGCAGGTGCTTATGCCGCTGAGCTAAACCCCCAGCCCCACAAAATGTAAAACTTAACAGTCACTTTGATTCGTAGACTTACTTCATTCTCTTAAAAAAAAAAAATCCCCCACAGAAAAAGATAATTCTTATGTATGACAAAAACGTAAAATCGGGAATCTCCTTTCTACACCTCTTAATCATGCCTGAGAATCTGAAAGCAGACAGAATTTATATGGAGAAAGCCTAAGAGCCAACAGTCAGGAATTCTGGGCTTTCTCTCTGTTGCCATCACTGAGGCAACTCAGTGACCTGATGTTATACGCCTCCATGTAGAAATAAAAGTGTGACCACTGCATTCCCAGAGTGCTCAAAAACTTAGGTTCAGCTCTGTGATCAAGGTCTTTGGGTGACCACAGAGCAGCTCATTTCAAAGAGGTTTTTAAAGGCATTTTTTTCTCTTTTAAGATGAGTAATTCTAGGAATGACTCCTCTGTTGCTTCTGCTATGTGGAGGGGATGAGAAGGCTTCTTACCCAGCCGCAAACTGCGACGGTGCCATCAGGCCTGGGCTGAGGCCTGCAGCAGCAGCCATGGCGGCAAGACTGGCATTTGCTGGCAACTGTGCGGCTCCTTGGAGAGCGGCAGCTGCTGCTGTTTGCAAGCCTGATGCTGTCACCATCACCTGGCTGGTTGCAAGAGGGGAGGACAGAGGAGTAGAAGTGGTCTGCGTTGTGCTGGTCTCGCTGGCACTGGATGCCTCAGAGGCAGAGGCGGAGGCAGAAGGGGAAGGGCTCAGAGAAGGGCTTGTGACTGCTGAAGAAGCGGGAGGGGCTGTGGAGATCACGGTGGCTGTGTTGTTGGACGTGGTGTCTGTAGTGCCTGGAAAGAGAACTAGATTAGAAAATGAACTCTGTAAAAGTCTTTGAAGAATAGTGGCTTATTCATCTGTACTCTAGACTCAACGGACTAATTAATCCAACATCCAGTAATCCTCGATTTACTCTTCTTAAATTAACCTAATTTAACATTTGTATGAATTCCACTGTCAGAAGCAAGAGGAGCAACAGAACTATGAAAGAAATAGAATAGTTTTCCAATGCCAATTTCTGATTAAAAAACAGTCAGAGAGCTCTAATTATAAGATACAAATGCTCTGGTGAAGAAACATAAGCAAAAAAGAAAGCTTTTAGAAATCTTCTTTTCATTCGGCAATCTCCACAAAAAAATCAAAACGAGAACAATAAAAACAAAATTTATGTTTTTCTAATAATTATCATGATTTTTTAAGAATAAATGTCAGTACAAGAAACAATATAAAAATGACTAAGTAAAGGTACATGTCTAGATGCATTCTTTGTATTAAAATTCAGCTCTTTTGTAATGAAAATTAGCTTTCTAAATAATCTTCTGTACTAAAGTCTCTTACAGATACAATCGCATGCAATGATAATATGAATCTCATAAAAGGTAATAGGAAAAATGAGTATCTAATAAGCTGTTATGTGAGAGGCCTTTAAAAAATCTGGTTCCTGGATTTTTGTTTAAAGAACAAATATTTGGATAAAAGTGACTAATTGACATTAAAGTATCATTTAAATACATCCACTGGGACTAAATTTGAGATCTGCTTTGCCCAACAGAAATAAAATACATGTAATCTGAAATATTCCAGTAATCCCACTGAAAATAGTAAAAAGAAGTAGATGAAATTAATTCAAATAATATATTCATAATCCAAGTTCACCAAAATATCAAGATAAAATCAACAGTATTAATGAGTTGTTTATCTTTCTCCATCTGAAAATGGGATGTATTTGATAATTTCAGCATTTGTGAATTTGAACAAGCCATGTTTTAGGTGCTCAAAGCCATGGGTGGCTAGTGGATGCTGTATTGAATGCCAGATTTAAAACATGCCTGGATGTTAGTGAGCTGTATTCTAGAGCCAAGTGGGGTTTAAAGAATACTGCCACTCTGCCCAGAGTAGGAATGGCTTATTAGGCTGGCAGGAAAGGCTAATATCCTTCTACAAGAGATAGAAAACATCAACTGACCCAGAGAGTTCAACTTCTGACACTATCTATATAATGAAAGTATTGTATAGAACAGGTCCTCTTATTTCCATTGTCAGTGAATGCTGCAGTACACAGGCTTTCTAAAGCTAGCCAGAATTTAATTTAGTGAAGAACAGCACAGTTTAGAATATAATTGATCAAATACATATATAAAGCAATACATTTTTGCAGGATGACTCAAAAAGGTAAACATATCTATGATTTTTCAATATAATAGTTCTGTGGTATAAACCAAAGGCAACTATTACAGAAGAACCAGACAGATCAAAATATGTATCTCAAACCTATACACACTGGAAAAATCTTATGTAGAATTTTATTTTTTTGGTGGCAGATAGGGTTGGACCCAACTCTTTATACTGAGCTACGTCTCTTAACCTTTTTAATTAAGTTACTAAGTTGCACAAGCTAAGTCTGAACTTGCAATCCTCTTGCCTCAGCCTCCTAGAGTCTCTGATTATAGGTGTGTGCTACCATACATGATTAAAATATTTTTTAATGATAAAGTCTATTACTAAGCTGCAGAAGACTCTGCTTTTGAAACTGCCTTATGATAAATTCTAATATCTATTTTGAAGTCACCTTCTGGTCTACACTAAGGACATCTGGAAGTCAAGTTTCTTCTCATTCCTACTTTCCAAATTAGCAACTTAGATACTGTGTTAAAATAATTCTGAGTTCCTTATTGAATGCCACACAAAAGAGGCTATCTGGTATTTCACTGAATGAGGGAAGCACATCCTTTTTTCTGTTAAGTGAAAAGGAAGGACTCACTCCTTCTGCCCTTCTGAAAAATATGAATGAGATTATTTCCTGTCATTGCCACTGGCCCTAAATATAGTTGTATCTTTGGATATTGCTAATCCCATTTCCATTCAGTATTTCCTCAGTCCTAAATCTTTCTGAACATCCTCTGTTGCTGGGCGCCGGAGACCACAGTGGCTTATTTGGCAGACTGCTGGATACACGTGCACCTTCTTCTAAGATAAGAGGCCTTTCTTCTGTAGGAAGGGAAGTGTCTTTGCGTATTTCCCTTCTATTGGTAAGAAATTGCAATGTACTTCCAATCTCTTCTTCGACAATTTCTCACCTTATCTAATTTAATTTTACTTACATAAGTGTAGTCTCTTTTCAAGGTTCTGAAATGCCCATTTTCATAAGACCTCATATCTTAGGGCTAACAGCTTAAAATGGTGGTTTTCTTTCCTTTTCAGTGCCACTTTCAAATCACTCAGAATCTCTTCCTTCAAATCCTGTAGGTTCATACATCTTATCAGTGACTTCAACCTGGGCCTAGGAGGTGATGATTCAAGCTTGCTTTTTTCTGGTAATAATACTCTAACCACATTCTAGGTTTCTCCTATTTGAATGGCATATGAGCACTATGGTGTAACAATTCAACATGATGTTTAAATCAGTTCTCCTAGCCAGTGAGTCATCTATTTACCTACCTACCAATTTATCTAAATTTTGGATCCTAAATTCTTGGCATTTAATTTCTTGGGCAATTTTGATCAGAACCTGGGCTCACTGAGTCTCAATGTCCTTAACAACAAAGTAACCTAGCCTACAAGTTACGAGGAAGTTAGATCTGAGCATAGGTGAGTGTCTAGTAACTTTTCTTGGTTCCCTTCCTGTCTGCTTGTAATAGCTTTGCTGAGGGACGTGTTATGTGCATAAAATCCATCCAATTTAAGTGTAAAATTCAATGATTTTTAATTAACTTGCTGAGTTGCAGAACCATACCACAATCCAGATTACAACATCCTACCACCAAAAGCCTCATTGTGCTCGTTTGCCATCACTTCTTGCTTCTACTGGCTCACTTGCTCTCTGTTTCTATAGATCTGCCTTCTTTTTTTAAAAAAACTGGTGGTATTGAGGTTTGAACCCAAGGCCTGCCTACTGGGCTCTATCCCCAGCCTTCTTGCCTACTGCTTTTCCCCCCTCCTCTCCTTTTCCCTCCCTCCTTTTATTTCTTTTTAAATTTTGAAACAAGATCTGCTTAAATTGCCTAGGCTGGGCTTGATGTTGTGCTCCTCTTGCCTCAGTCTCCAAGAGTGCTGAGGTTACAGGTGTAATCTGGCTATATTTAAAAATTTTTTAAAAAACATAACTAGAACTATATAATATGTAGTCTTTTATACTTGAGTTCTTTCACTAGGATTTTTTTTTTTCTCTTATCTTTTTGAGACAGGGTCTTGTTATGCTTTCAGGCTGGTCTCGAGCTCACTTTGTGGTCCAGGCTGTCTTGAACTTGCAAAGATCCTTTTGCCTTGAGTGCTGGGCTTACAGGCATGCGCCACCCCACCCAGTTTCTTTTACTAAGGTTTATCCATGTTGAAACAGAAATCAACACTTCATTACTTTTTAGTATGTCAAATAATATTCTACTGTGCACATATATCACATTTCATTCATTCACCGACTGATAGGCACTGGCTTGTTTCCAGGTTTTTGCCTTATGAATAATGCTGCTTATGTGAAGCATTTTGTATGAATGTTTTCATTTGGGGCAAATTACTTGACAGGATGGTAAATTTATGTTTCATTTGCAAATAAATTTTTGAAGTTTTTTTCCAAAGTAGTTAGTATCATTTACATTGTCACATACGATGCAATGTGAATTCTAGTTTCTCCACTTCTTTCTCAACACTTTTGGTCATTTTCTATTATAGCCACTCAAGTGAATAAAAGTGGTATCTCACTGTACTTTAAATTTGAATTTCTTTAGTGCATAATGATGTTGAATGTTTTTTCATGTGCTTATTAGTTACATCACTTCTCCGCCTTCTGGCTAAGATCAAGTGACGTCATGCATGTTTTTTTTTTTTTTTTGTAAAATGTGCATTAAAGTCTTTTGTTCATTTAAAAAGCTGGGTATTAATATTTTTACTGTTGAGTTGTACACATCCTTTATGCATTCCATGTATGACTCCTTTATTAGATATATGATCTGCAAATGTTTTCTCAAGTCTTTGGCTTGTGTTTTCATCTTAAAGTATGTCCTCTAGCACAAAAGATTTTATTTTTGACAAAACTCTATTTTTGTTCTTTATGGATTGTGCCTTCTTTTGGTGGTGTACATGTATGAACTTTGCCTAATCTAAGGTCATGAAGAGTTTTCTCTTAGAAGTTTCATAAGGTTTATCTTCTATATCTAGGCCTCTGATTCACTTTGGTTTATTTTGTGAACAGTATGAAGTTAGGATCTAAACTCATCTTTGCGCATATAACTGGACTAGAGCCCTTTGCTGGAGACTTTTCTCGCTATTGAACTCTTACATGTGTGTTAAACAGAGAACAAATTTAAAGGTTGGTTTGTGGACTTCCATTTTGTTCCATTTATTCTAACATTATGCCTGCATTATACTGTTTAAAGTATTGTATCTTTGTAGTAAGCTTTGAATCTGGACATATGGGGCCTGGGGATATAGCTCAGTGGCACAATGCTTGCTAGGCAAGTGCAAGTACTGAGTTCGATTTCTGATACTGGCAAAAAAGAAAAAAAAAAAAAGAAATTTAGACATATTTGTCCTAAAATTAGTTATTTTCAAAATTGTTCTGGCTGTATGGGATTCCTTTAATATATTTTAGAATTTTACCAATTCTTTAAGAATCACAGAATCTGCTGGAATGCTAATGTTGTTTGACCTATAAATCAATTTACAGTAAGCTGTAATCTTAAGAATGCCAAGATTGGAAGGGATATAAAAAGGATCAAGATGTGACATGTACATGCACCAATACTCCAGATTAATGTATTCAGTATACATTGCAAACATTTACTAAAACATTTAAAGAAATATAATACTGAGTCTCCCAAACCATCAATATAGAAATGTCTCTGTTTACTTAAGACTTTTTCAGCAAATTTTAGCTTTTACTATGTAAGTATTCACTGCATTTGTTAAATTTATTTCTAAATATTCTATTCTTTTGAAGCTATCATGTATAAATTATTTTCTTAACTTCATTTTTGGGCTATCCAATACTGAATTTACTGATTAATTCTTGTAGGTTTTTTTCTTTTGTGTGGATTATTTGGAATTTTTATACAAATAGGATAATGCAAATAAAGGTGATTTAGCTTTTGTTCTCCCTTAATAAACTAGCAATTACCTCCAATATAATGTTAATTAGGACTCTAATTAACACTGCAGACATTCTTTGCTTTGTTTCCAATCTTGGAGGCAAGGAGAGAGGAGGGAAGAGCACTCAGTCCTTCTCTGTCTTAAGTATGCTGTTGGCTTCAGCTTGGAGAGTCTTATCACGTGTGGATTTGCGTTCTGTCAAGTATCTTCTATCTATTGAGGTGATCATGTGGGTCTTGTCCTTTCTTCAATTACTATAGTGTTTTATGGTAATTGATGTTCAGATATTAAACCAACTGTATATTTTGGGAATAAATTCCCCTTTTTCATATATTGCCAAGTTTGATTGCTCAGATTTTGCACATATTTTCATGGAGGATATATTGTGATATATTTATCTGGCTTTGGTATCATGGTATCATGGTAACAATGGCCTTTAGAAATCAAAATAGCCCAAACCAAGCCAAGTCATGTCAAACCAAACCAATCTCTCTTCCTCTATTTTCCAGAACAGACTGTTAAGGTGAACTTAAAAAAATTGTTTTCACATTCACAGAGGTTAGTGTTGATAAAATCTTACATATCTTTGACAATTAGGAATGTAGTTCAAATTAATAATTGAATGGATTAATGTCTCTATCATTTAGAATTATCTACTTCTCTCTTTAATTCTGTTTATTTTTGCTTCCTGTATCTTGAATCTTTGTTAAGTAACTAAATAACTATAATTGTTCCATCTTTCTATGGAATAAACTTGTTTATTATTTGGAGACATTTCAGAAAAAGAACTAGAGTACATCAAACTGAAATTATAAAGGGATAGGGAATTTGTACAAAGTTTTTTTTTAAATTTTTAAATTTTTAATTTTTATTTTTTGGTGCCGGGGATTGAACTCATGACCTTGCACTTGCCAGGCAGGCGCTTAAGCCACTGAGCTAAACCTCTCCCCTTTTAAAATTTATTTTAATTTTTTCTGAAAGTTTTGAGACACATTAGATACTTATCTTTCTGAGAAGTCATTATCACTTTTTTGTATCTATTCTGGAAGTGTTTACTAAGGACCTTTTATGTGCTAAGTGCTATGAAAAATAGATGACTATATCAAGATTTTCCTTTAGAAGACAGTAGACTGAGGACATGGTTTTCTCCCTTTATTTCTAAAATCCAATTCCAAATGAGAGTAAATAAATGAAAGAGAAGGTAAGAGCTTTGCGGCCAGATTTCAGTCATGAGATTTTTACTAAAAACTGTATGTCTATTTTATGAAGGGAAAAGTCTGTAGTTTTCAAATTCTCCAAGATGCCTAACACTTAAAAGAGGTCAAGAAGTCCTATTTAAAATAGATAAAAATTAGAAAATTTTCTGTAACTTAGAAATACAACATAAAGCCATTTGTTGAATTTTTACATCATGTTTAGAGTTGAAGAGCTGTTATAAAATTCACTACAAGTCACGAAAATCAAGTTTCTAATTCTAGGTTAAATCAAATTTGATTCTGAAATATTACAAAGTCATTCAATGCCATACAAGCACATAATCAACTGTATGAATGAATTTATGGCATACTGTATTATAGACATACATAACTAAAAACACATGATGACAGTGCTAAATCATCTTAAATGTATTGGGCAATTTGCTATTTGAATGAGGGGAATGGAAAAAACAACCCTACTCATTCAATAATTATTGTATAGTGTGTCACAGTATGTAGATCTTTTGAGAAGCACAAAGGGAAACGCACATTTGTAAAAATATACTTATAATACAGATAGGGAGAAATGAACAATTTCCTGGGGAAGTTAACTGATGTTTCCAAAAGGAACTGATATATATGCTGGAGTAGCATACCAACATCAGACCAAGAACTGCAGGCTACAATGGATGACGTCTCAGGAAGTAGAAAGGGTTACACAGGCATGGATGGAGGCTCCTTTGGGTTAGGGGGGTTGGTAAGCAAAGGTTCAGAGTAGAAATAAACTTAGAATTGATAAACCTGATGATTTCCTGTGTACAAAGTCATAGCTACTAAAACTTGTAAGGAAAAGGAGATAATGTCTCTAGGAACAGTAGAGGAGCTCTGCTAACATGGAAAAGTACAAAAGAGATAAAAAGCAGAATGTGGCGGTAGACAAGTGTAATCTTAGCAGTTGGGGGACTGAGGCAGGAGGATCCTCAGTTTGAGGCCATTTTTGGGAACTTAGTAAAACCCTATCTCAAAATACAAGATAGAGATATAGAAAGGGAATATTCCTGGGGGAAAGAATCTTTTCTAACAAAAATCATGCTTGATATTTTTTGAAGTTCAAATTTTTATATGTAACTTTAAAAAGCACATACTTTTAGTTAGCGCTAAGTCACAATTTAATGGCAGATTCACGTACAAACTTCAGGGGCCTGCTGTGTACTTAATATCCACATGCCCTGGGAATGCTCACCTGTAACAGAGAGATTAGTCACTGCGGCGCTGGTTAGGGGGAGGACAGGGTTGACTGTAAGGGTGGCTGCTGTACTGCTTGTCACAAGGCTTGGCGTGGTTGCCACCTGGAGGTCAGAAGTGAAAACATGCACAAAACCCTTAAAATCAAAACTCAAAACGTTTTGTTACTACTTCAGTAATGAATGGCAAGTCTGATACTCTGTCAGTAAGAATGTGTACACTAGTTAGCAATTTTATCTCAAGAGGAAAACTATTTGACAGGATCCTGGTGTGGTGGTGGTGGTAGTATCTTATGTTGCTTTTTACTTTTCATTCTGTTGGGGGCAAAATTGACTTGTTTTTGTTTTCAATGAAATGGTGTTACAGGAAGAGCGCAAAGCAAACTTCTTAAAAACTCAAATTTCTTTGAAATAAAAAAATTTGTCCAGTTTTCTAAGAAGTACTGCTTTTTTCCCCAATACAAATAAATTTTAAACACAGTAAAGTCACACTCAAGAAATTATCTAGTGATTTTTTTATAAGTATTGTCTCATGATCTCCATGATTAAAGTTCCACTATTTAACCTTAGGCTTCACTTGACCCATACGTACTTTTAATGATGACTTTAGCTTTCAAAGTCTTTATTGAGATGATGTTCAAAATGAAATAAAAACAAATTAAAAAGGAAATAAAAACCTGCCATTTCTTGAAACATGGTTGGCACAGGAGTAGTTACATTTACAGTCATTTTAAAAACCAAGGAGTCACTTATTATTACTTGTGACTCAATGAGGATAAAAGGACTGTTGTTTAGCATGAGGATCTCAAATGATCATTTTAATATAATCAGAGCTAAAGGTTTTCTGAGAATTAATTGTCATTTAATGTTTAATAAATAAAGTTTTAGGCCTTAAAATGGGTAAAGAGTCAATAAGGGGTTTTTAGATCTACTATTAGTTACTGAAGAACTTAATAAACTGCACCACAGAATAGGATGGTGGAAGTGCAACAGAATAAGAAAGAAAGTTGTTCACTTTAAATTTATTTTGTATGAATGCTGTATATGGTATGATAAATTCTTGGTAGTAAATAAATTGATGTTGTGGGCCAATGTGTAAAATTGTAACAATTAGCCTAAGAACTTCCATTCTTACCAGTGAGGTTGGGCTGGGGAAAATTGCTTTGATAGGTGAGCTGCTGGTCCCACCACTACTTGGTGGGTTGATTCTTTTTTCTTTCTGGCGTCGGTTACAAAACCAAACACGAATCACCTCTTTTTCCATATTAAGCTGTTCAGCAATCAAGGTGATCTCTTCTGAGGTAGGCTTTTGATTCTGAAGGGGGAAAAGAAAAACATCCAACATCTTTTGTTGTTCTTTTTGAAAAATGGATATAGCAGACAAATCAGAAAATAAAGCTGGGAGATATATACATATGGCCATGCTAGGCCACTTTCAATAAACAATTTCTGCCAATTGTCACACTAATGAACTTTTGGAGTTTTCTTAGTGTTTTATCCACACCAGCCAACTTGACTTCACAATGGTTCCCTAACTCAGGAAAGGCAGGTATCTCACTGATGTGGGGGCTTGAGTTTAAAGAAATCAAGTGACGCCCCATTACACCGTTAACAAGAGGTAGTGAAGAAGAGTTCTGACTGAGTGAGTGATCCTTCCAGTACACTCAAACCTTCTGAATTACAGAAGTCAAAATTTTGTTGGAAGCTCTGATTATGACATTCCTTGGTTTATTTTTTATTTTTATTTTTTGTCTTTTTGAGACAGGGTCTTGCTATTTGGTTCGGCTGGCCTTGGGCTCACTTTGTAGCCCCGGCTGGTCTTGAACTTGCAACAATCAACCTCCCTCAGTCTCCTGAGTGCTGGGAATACAGGAATGCGCCACCACACCTGTCTTGTATCACCTGGTTTAAAAACAAAACAAAACAAACAAAAAAACTCTGCTGAATATCTACTGAACTAACCTCCACAGCCTGACAATCAAGGCACTCAGTGTTCTGGCCCTAAGCTACCATTCTAGAGCAGACACTAAAATTTGGCCAACTAGACTACTAGGGTTTCAACTGGTAGAGCTTAGGTTTTCCCCAGAGAGGCCCCTGAAAGGGAATTCTACTTAAAGTGCTTTTCTCCCACCTTTTCCAGCCTGTAGAATTAATTTCTAAATATTACACGGACACTGTCATCTCTTTTACACCAAATGCTTGATGAGATGTAACCAAGGTCTATCACAGTGGTCTCCCAGCTCTGTCTCCTCTGTCAGTAACTTACTACAGTATTTTTCCCATTACATTCAAGCATTCATAAGGCAAAGGCTGACACCTTCATTGTTTATTATCCACAGTTCCAAATGCCAGTATCATGGACAATCTAATGCACATGCCAAGTAAATACTGCACTGACCTCCAAGAAACTCTTCTCTAAGGCCGCCCGTATGTTGGTCTCTATGCTGGTGCGTTTCTTTCTCCTACGATTCAAACCCTCCACTCCCTGCCCTGGAGAATTCAGGGCACTTGGGCTGGAGACAGATGAATCAGATGAGAGGTTCTCTGTATGAATGAAGAAAGCAAAAATAAAATTAGCTGAGCCTAAGGATTCATGTACACAGAACTTCTATTAATACCAATAATAAAACTGACAAACTATTTTAAGCTCTACACAAGTGTGAAAAGATTTTTACATAACCTACATTAAAAGACTATTCACTACCACGAGACTTTCTCCTGTCCTTATTGGCATTCTCTGTCCCAGCATGAATGACCATATTGCCACCACTGTTTTCTGATTTTTTTTTTTTTTTTTTGAGAAAACATTTACTATTCTGAAGCTTAGACAGGAATCCCTCAGTTCTGTTTTTTTTTTTTTTTTTTTTTTGGTATCAGGGATCGAACTCATGACCTAATGCTTGCCAGACAGGCACTTACGCCGCTGAACTAAATCCCCAGCCCCTCAGTTCTGTTCTTATGCTTTATTTTCATGAGCTCTCAAAATAAAAAGAAGAAAGCTTCTTGGAAATTATTGAACATTTAATATTTTATCTTGTAAGTGATTTTACATGTTATTGGTATAAGTGGGAAAGAAAGAAATATACTTATTCCTTCAAGTTAAAAATAGTTTTCTTTCATTAATAGCTTAAGAACCGTAGATATGTCACACACGTTTTTGAGTTTCTATTATACATAAAATGAGATGGAGTGCAGCCAGCGTTTCTCACCATGGAACTCAGGAAGACTACAGATGGCTAGGCCACACCCACAGCCACTCAATCAGCTCCCAGAAAGAGTGGCTACTTCAAGTTTCTCTTTACCCAAATCTATATTTCTACAATAAGAATGACAGTCTTAGAACACTTCTGTGGTTTCTTTAGCTCTGACAGCCTATGATTCTGAGGCTCAAAATGGAAATTTTCCAGAAATAAATCTTGACACAAAATAAATTAAGACTAGATGTCTAAGTTTTTGTATAACATTCATCTTTGAAAGTCAATATTGCCATTTTTGATAAGGAAGGCAGAAATATTATCAGGGACAAGTTCCATTAATTCATCAAGGCAGAAAACAAGAAATCTTCAAGTTTATCTGAATATACAGGCCTTCTTATCTTTCTGATAAGATACAGTCACTGACTATGTGAGTGTACTGAATCCTCACTCAAATACAAGAAATATTTTAAGGCTAGAAATTATTGCTAATTACTTACACTGTAATTACTAGAATATTTAAGTGAATCAGCTTTTTGATTTAGATAGTCATAATTTATAATGATCACCCCAAGATCAGTAAGCTTCAAAGTTTTTTTTTACTTTTTGTTTTATTGGTACATTTTAGACATAATGACAACATTCGTTATAGTGAATTTGTACCTGTACATGATGTATCTTGCTTCTTTTTTTCTCATTCTCCTCCCCACCCTTCAATCTAAAATTCTTTAAATATCAATAACTCAGTAAGAAATAGAAACTCGGGTTTCATTTTCTCTTAAAATTCCAATAGGCAGTGAAGAAATGTCTGAATCACTTACCTGCATCATTTAGCCACTTCTCTAAAAGTGGCTTTAACTTGCACATGTTCTTAAAGCTGAGGTTCAAGGCTTCAAAGCGAGAGATGGTAGTCTGGCTGAAGTCGTTTCCATATAGTTTACCCATAGCGAGCCCAACATCACCCTGTACAGTTCAGAGCAGGAAAAGGGGAGAAGAAAAGAAAGATTCCTTTCACTAATGTTTACAGCATCTACCATGGAGGGCCACGCCAATAACTGCTCTAGATGAAGAACCTAGCAAACTATCATTCTTTACTGGGTCCCACCTAAACTTTGTTCCTAAGCTGAGCTAAAGCCTTAATCAGGATAGCATTCAGCACTGCCCCAGATACCTTCCATTTTGAATCTCTTTTTGTTGCAGTACATGATAATCAAGGTATCAAAACTTTTGTTCACTCTCTAAAGATAATATTGATTCCAACAAGCCTCTTAATTCATGTAGCCAAAGTGCATTCAGTAATCTTTGAAAATCAATTTCTCTATATCACTTTATAGGAATTAGATGCAATGGTCTAGATAATCCTAGGAATTTCTGAGCTAACCAAACTTCTTATATGTCACTTTAAAATTTAGAAACCATCCCTCGTTCTTTTTATTTCTAAAGTATTTCTGGAGCAGTAAAAAAAAAAAAAAAATCTATTTTCTCCCTTAGTTTGGATTTCAAAGTTGGTTACAAAAAAACAGGTATTCTAAAAGACCATTTTTGTAACCATTACAGAGATAGAAATTCACAGTAGGGAGTTTTGACCTATTTAGTAAAACCTTCATGAGCACTAGAAACTTGGTAACCTCATAGCAATGGAACAATGATTCCCTGAATATATTACAAAAGGTATCTTCCAAATGAGTCTATAACCTTTGAAATGTACACAGTGCTTTTCTTCCAGCTGGATTCTCTTATGTAAGCTTGAAAAAGTCAAATCTTAATAGGTACTTTACAGACAGATCACAGATAGTCAAAATTATAATGATCACCCCAAGATCAGTAAGCTTCAAAATTTTTTTTTTTTACTTTTTATAAAGCTCATGGAATTTAAATGATTCAATCACTCATTTCAATTAGTTTAGTGACAGGGCAAAGATGCAATGGCATTTCTGGCCCTGTATGCTACTACACAGCTAATTCTACAGAGAGGCAGCCAAATCTCAGTCATTCTGCCAACACTTATTTTGAATTGGAGCTGTCCTAGTCTTTTGACACCATTCTCCACACGTATTTTGGATCCCACATTATTAGCCATATGTAGTAAGTGGTAATAGAGGAAATAATATTTATTAAACTCCATTTTCTTAGTGTTCAGCAATTTCTGATAAAAAGTTTAAAAGTGGATGAATGTGGGACTGTGACATAAAATGAGGCACAAAGAATATTTGACCTTTATATGATTTATGCAATCCTGTGTCTGCCCTATAATAGCCAATAAGCATACGTGGCCATTTGAATTTTAATTAAAAATCAAATAAATTGAAAATTCAACTCCTCACAACACTGGACCTTTAAGTGCATGCACTGGTGCCTGGTGGCTACTGTACTGGACAACACGATACAGAACATCCCCACCATTGTCAGCACCAAACAGACTCTCTCCAGCTTGAATGCGAGTGGACTGTCCATTGATTTCTTTCCAACTGTAGTAAAGCCGAAAGCAGCAGGATAGTGTGGTGAGGCCATGAATGCGGTCTGCATCATTATATAAATATGTCTAAAGATACAGATGCATGTCTCTATCTATCAAGGAATGTTCACCCAGTATATACTGTACGTCAGACACTGGATTTATGCTTTATGGATCACATCTATCCATGTTCTGGTCACTTCATTTGTTTACAACTTTCTGGAAAACTGAGAACAACTTAAATCATCCAATTTTTGAGTATAAGACATCCAGTAGCAATTAGACAGCAATAAACATCTTCTGACACTCTAATTGCATGATTCATTAAGAAATTTTCACAAATGTATCTTATTATGAAAAGTGACAATTTTGACAAGCAGAAAATAAAACACCTATTAAAAAACCAGATCGTATGTAAGTATAAGCAAAAATCTTTTAAGTTAGTAGCTGGAAATTAAGCTATGTTATTAACTAACTAGAACCATGGCATATATGACAAATTCATTTATTCAAGATATATAATTTTTAGGTTGTTTAACGGAGTAAAAAGCAACAGACCCTCCAGTTAATATATGCTTGGCTTAACTCTTTGATTTTTCCCTATAAAAGTTAAGTAAGCAGTTGATTCATATATAATCCGAAGTACATTATTTCCTTTGATATTTCTAAAAGGAGTAAAACAAATAAGGAGCCAAGAATGGGAATGGGGAATAAGGAATGTAGTACATTTGGTAAATGTTATATATTATAACATGCTTTCTAATTATGCAATGACATTTAATAAGCAATAATGTAATTCTAAAATAACTTTAAAACATTTAATAACATGTGTGTTTACTAAGAATAGAGATGCATTTCAACAAGTAAGCTGAATGTTCGATTTTCTTCTTATACATAAGCATAGAAATAGCAATATATGTTTTAGACTTGAAGTCTAAACCTTTGAATAACAATAATTAAGGTAATTAGCTAAAAAATAAAGGCTGATAAGCATATTTTCCCATCCTGTATCGTACTTTAAGTGCTTTAAGTCACTGAGTCAAGATCTGTGAACCACTGCCACTGCTGTGTCAAGTTATTTTGAAAACTAAGGAATGGTCTCAGAAAGAACAGCTACCATCAAAAAACCAACCAATAACAAATGGTGATGAGGCTATGGGGAAAAAAGAACCCTTCTCCACTGTTGGTGGGAGTGCAGACTGATACAACCACTGTGGAAATCAAGTGTGGAGATTGTTAGAAAAAACTATGACTATGTTCCATTTGGTATCTTCCCAAAAGAATTAAAAGTATCATACTACAGAGACACAATGCACACCCATGGTTACAGTGGTTTTTATAAAACCCAAGTTTTGGGAACAGTTTAACTATCCATCAATCAATGAACAGATATAGAAGATGTGATTTTTTTATACTATGGAATACTTCTCTGCCATAAAGAAGGATAAGATTGAGACATTTTTGAGCCTATACTATTAAGTGAAATAAGTTGTACATACATGTTTAAATGCCACAGGGTTTCTCTGTTGTGAGAAACTGAAAGCATTAATTAGGACCAAAATGCATAATAGATATTGGGAAATGGGAAGAAAATGTTCAAATGAGAAGGGGAACAAGGGAGAGAGGAGAGAGAAAGGAAAGAAGGGACAAGAAAAAAAGATCACAGATAGTCACAGAAGCAATTAATGGAAACTAGAGTTTTGTAAATGAGAAGAGGGATTGAAAGGAGGGAAGGCAAATGGGAAAAAGAATCAAGATATATCATGCACAGGTACAAGTTCCCTATGATGAAAGTGATCATTATGTCTATCTAAAATGTACCAATCAAAAAAAAGACAAAGCTTCTTGTGAGCTTCGATGAGATGTAGATGACATATAAAGACACAGATGTTACCAGGAGCTCATTATTGTGATTCTTCATCATGGTTGCCCACCCTGTGCCTCCCAGACACAATAAAAGAGACAAAAGAGACCTTTCCTCTCTTGTTTGGCCCAAGTTTGCTCTACAGAGACAGTTTTCCCTTGGCCCTTCACTCTTCACTTTTCAAATAAACTTTTGGCACCATAAAAAAAAAAAAAAAAAAAAAAAAAAGAGAAAAATAGGAAAAATCAGGTGTGATACGCATGCCTATAATCTTGACACTCTGGGAAGCTGAGGCAGAAGAGTCACAAGTTTGAGTCCAGCTTAAGTAATTTAGTGACTTAGTGAGACCCTGTGTCAAAGTAAAAAAAAAAAAAAAAAATTTTAAGAGCAGAATATATGTACTGAGAGAAAGACAGCTTCTCCCCAAGGGACAGAAGGGGTCTGAGCAGATTGCCTCAAAGTAAAATTTAAAAAGGATTGGGGGAATAGCACAGTTTGAGGGCCTCAATCCTCAGTGGTGAAGTGGGTAAGGAAAAAAGAATGAAATCATGAAACAAATCACAAGATGACAGAGAAACTCCTTAATGAGGAAAGACAGAGAAAAAAGGAGAGACAGAGGCACATACATTACTGGCAATATATAGAGTCAAATGCCACAGCAAGGCAAACCACTGTTTGAGTAAAAGCTAGCAATTTTTAAAAGGCTTCGTATCCTTAATATACCAATGGGGCAATACTCACCCAGGGAACCCAAACTTATGCTGTGCTAATACCCTAAATCTGAAGCACTGCTAAAAATGCCAGCTTTATACTTCCTTCAGCTTATTAACTTATGCCTGTCAATCTAGTTTTATCTTTAGATTTATTTTTAAAACAAGTCAGATCACTTAAATGCTTCAAAAGTACCAAATGATTGGTGAATTGTAATTTATTTCTCCATATCTGAAACTACTCAAAAATGTAACTGCATTTCACTTAAAATTACATCTATTTTAAAAATAACTTTATGCTCCTACTACATAGCTTCTTGGAACAAAAATAAATTCCTGAAAACATTATAAGAAGTATAAATCTGTTCCTAAAAACATCCAGAATACAGGCAAAGAAATTATCCCGAATTTTTTAACTACCAGATAAGTGGTACATTATGTACTTTTAACAAAATCATTTGGATAGTATTTAAGTGGTGGGTTTAATTCCAAGTAGTAACTATATTCTCTGAAAAGAAAACACAAGGGTTTTTTTCCTGATTCCATTAAAACACCCAGTCCAATCCACATTTCATGTCTTTTTCTTTCATTTAATAATCTTATGACATTTTACATAAATGTCACTCACTTAATTCCTTTCCTGGTTTGTAAGTATTATTTGTGACAGGTTAATCAAGGAGTAAGTCAGTAGCAGTGCTTAGAATAAAAATGTTGTGCACCCAGATGCCTGTTTAAACCATTAAAGCTACTTCACTCTACTTTAAAAACCCTCTGCTAGCTGACAGTAGAAAAATTAATTTGGATTTTGATTAATTTGGATTTTTCATCTTCAACAGACCTTATTTAATTAATTAGTTTCAGCATAGGCTGGGGAGAGAGAGAAAAGGAGGCAGGCAGGCAGATAGAGCCTACCATTACCTTCTCTCCCACAAAAACCTATTTTAAAACAAGCCTTTCAAACGCATCCCCCTTTAATTACTGTTAAGACCCAAAGATTGTTATTCTAATCTTAGATATATAGCACCAGATGTTCCTGAAATAACAAAATCCAGTCACAGTATCCCCAACATAATGTCTTGTAAATTTTCACATATAATTATGATTTCAGAGGCTTGCCTTGTGAGATAAATCTTCAAAGTATAACCTAATATAAATTATAAATGAATGTATGAATTCAATGTGTAGTATCCTAAAGTTATAAATGCTAAATTACTTATCTATCTATCTATCTATCTATCTATCACCAAAATACAACATGGCTGGGATCACATTATATCTCAGAAGGTTCTTGATAGACACGGAAGGCAAACACCTGGACCCAGGCAATGTGGGAAAGCCAGGTAAGTGTGGTATCATCATCCTACCTGAGTGAATCCAAGTTTGATTCGTCTTTGTTTGAAGGTCTTGGCAAATTGCTCAAGCTCCTCAAGGTCACTGGGCTCCTCCAAGCTGGGAGTATCAATTCGCTTTGGTGTTGTCTGGCTCTGTGGAAGTGTCTGAATTGGGGTTGCTGCTATTGTGCGTGTTGGGGTTGCTGGCTGTTGGAGAAGGAACAGAGTAATAAACATGCATAGTGTGATCAAAATATACAGTGAAGGTTTAAGTTAAAAACATTTTTAGAGTAAAAGACACATTGCCACCCATCCCCCTGAAAACACTCCCCCTTGCTTCAAACACACTTATCTCATCATTCTTGCCATGTTCTGAAGCCATGTTCTCTTTTGTGAATGTCTTTACAAGGAGCGATGATTCGATGGAAAGGCAGGCTTGTAAACACATTATGGTATGTCCTCATCTACCTTATTCACTGGATCTGGCTCCAAGCAACTCCTGATTGTCCCCAAAGTGAGAATGAGAGGTGAATGTTTTGTACTGATTTCGGACATTAAGGCAATCAGGAGTGCAGCTAAAGACATCAAAGAGGACTTCTAGAACTGCCTCAGGAAGTGGCAAAAAACAGTAGAATCTTTGTGTTCAAATCAAGAGGGAAAATTTTGAGGGACATAAATGGCAATATGACTTTTATTGTAATAAAATTTTTAAAAATGTAAACGTTGGCTGTATCTTCAATCATACCTCATACAAAAAGATAACAGATACAACTGTAATGTGCTGCAAACAAATAACGAGCATATTCAGGGAGAACGATGGAAACCATGTCACACCGCAGAGAGGCAACACTGCTCAGTGAGAACAGGTATGTATACTGTGATTACAGTACAGGCTAAGGAATTAACCCGTGGAAAAATTTAACCACACAAAATAAAATTAACTAGTCTGATTACATGTATTTTAATAGATTACTCGTTATTTTTAAAATTTTATTTTAGGGCCAGGAATTTAGCTCAGAAGAACAAATGCCTGCCTGGCAAGTGTGAGGTCATGAGCTCAATATCTGGTACCAAAATAAAAAAAAAACAAACAAAAAAACCCCCCAAAAAACAAAAAACAAAAGGTCAAAAATTCAAAAACAAATTTTACTTTATAAATAGCCCTTTAGACTGTTAAAACAGCAAGGACTTCCTTATTCTATCTTATTTATCACTATTGTGTCTCTAACCTGTGACATTATATTATAAAAATGGTAAGATTATTAAACTATTTTCAGAAAGGAAACAAGTAACCCGTAGTTTAAGTAACTTATTATAGGGAGTGTTATTTTTGGGTATTTGTTAGTACCCAAAATTTGTTGGGTATTTCTCCTGCAAACCTACATTTTAACCTTAACTGTATTATGGTATACATATAAGTATCCTTTCCAAGAGCTGCCTGGGCAATATTTTTATAATTTAACAGATTCTTAATTGCTATACAGTTTTTCATTTATCACAGATAACACCACAATGAAAAACTTTTCATCAAAGAGTAAATGATATATCACTTTTGCTATTTTATTTCAATTATTATTGAAAGCAAGTGTCCAATGTGTCCAGTATTATCTGCATTTCTTTGAATATGAGTTAGATTTGTGTCCTTTACCTATTCACATATTAATGACACCCTTATTCTCATCCTAAATGAGCTCACTAAATGTTAACAGTAAAGTTTTGTCTGTCATATTAATACAAATCTTTTTTTCCAATTTGCTTTATTTTCAGTGTACATAAACTTTAAATTATCATTTAGATGAAATACCCCCCATTCACTGCTTCTGTTGTTCAAATCTTAGGAAAGTTTCACTTATTTTTAATCTGGATAGAATTATAGAATCCTGATAACTGTCTACCTTTTCTTTGTAACTTTAGAATATTTAGTTATTTAAATCTATCTGAAGTTTTATTTTGGGACATGAGGCTTTAAGTCTCTCTCTCTCTCTTTTTCTTTCTCTCTCTCTCTCTCTCTCTCCCTTTTTATGGGGGTAGTGGGGACTGAGCACAGGGCTTAGTGCATGCTAAACACAAGCTCTACTACTACTGAGCTACATTCCTAATCCCTAATCTTTTATTTTTAAGAAAACATTAAATCTCCTTGTTACACAAACACAAAGCAGTTCTCCCCTCAAGCCTGGAACAGAATATCCCCTTCTGAGTATTCACTACTAGTGGAGATGCAGTCTTGAACTATTGAACCCTCCCTGTGAACAGGGGCCAGGTTAAGAGATTACACACCAGGATTACAGGACACTGGTGCTGTGAACTTTTCTTCTTGTAATTTAGATGGGTCACATACCTCTGAACTTGAGCTTGTTAGTCAAGGTTTTCTCCAAGGGTACTAACTAGCCCAGAAAACTATACAATAGGCATTCCATAGACAGTAACTGGGGCAAGTTCTTCTCATCCTGCTTCAATGAAGACAATAAAGTTCATGTCCATGATATACTGCCACTGAGGAACTTTTAAGCTGACCATTTTGGAGAAGCCACTCTATTAGAATCCTACATGGCTATATACTTGCCACAGTAAAACTGGTTAATAGGTAGAGATGAGTCTCAACTGTAAGACTGTTACTTCATCTCAAGGTTCCAAGGACCTGCTTCCTCAAATAATAAAGGACTAAAAACAGCTTGGTGCACCTTTAGGTGCATGGTTACAGATAAGATAACCCAACTCTAGAAACCACAGGCTGGACTGACACAGATCTAGGGACAGTAGAGGACAATTTAGTGAGCAGAAGCTGGGGCAAAGCCACAATAACCTGCCACTGTTTGCAGAGCACGTAGGTCAGGAAGGAAGTTGTCATACAGGCTTCTGTCTTGGCCCAACCTGTAATTCCAGAACCTTGGGAGGCTGAAGCAGGAAGATTCCAAATTTAAGCCAACCTTGGGCAACTTAGTGAGAGTCTGTCTCAGAAAAGGGGTAGGGATGTAGCTCAGTGTAAAGGCCATAAATTTAATCCCCAGTACCTCAAAGAAACAAAACCTCAACCTTACTTTTCTACTTACCACATTCAAAGGCTTACCACTCACAAGTCATACTTTTGATAGATTTTGGCAACTGAATGTAATAACTACCAACACAACTACGACACAGAACATTTTCATCACCACCAAAAGTTTCCTTGTGCCCTTTGTAGTTAATCTCCATGATTAAGCCAAGTTACATTTACCTTTAATTCGAATTTCCAAATGATCACTGCTAGTGTACAGAAACAGAAATGGTTTTTGTATATCGAGTTTGTATTCTACATACTATTTAAACTCACTTATTCCAGCAGGTCCCTTTATCCCCAAAGACACCTTAAGATTTCTGATATACACAATTATGCCTCTCTATCTACTAGTTCTTAGTTGTTTTTTTTTTTTTTTTTTTTTTTTTTTTTTTTTTTTTTAAGACTAGTCAAGTGCAGTAGTGAGAAGGGGGGAAAAGAGTAGAACAAGGAGGTCAATCTGTACTGACTGTGAACAGTCAATTGAGATAACTCACTACCTTCGGATCAGTCAGCTGTTTTTTTCTAAAGAAGTAAAATATATAGCAAGATTCTATATGTCCTTTGTTTTTCTTGTCTTACTGCTAGTATAATGCTGAATTAAAGTGGTAACAGTGGTCAACTTGTTCTGATCTTAGAAGAAAGGTAATTCAGTGTGATTATTAAAGTTTTTTTTTTTTTGGTAGCTGTCCTTTATTATCTTAAAAAATTACCTTCTGTTCCTAAAATGTAATAGTTCTTACTATAAATGAATGTATAGTATTAAGCATTAGCTTCTAGAAAAAGAGAGTTTGATGTGGAAAAGGGATTTAGGATCAGCCAGTTCGGTCAACTAAGTTACAGATGAGATCCAGAAAAGTGAAATGACATACATGTTCAAAGCCACTGTTAGGAAGTAGAAGACAGATCCATACACTTCTAGATGTTTAAGACCTGTGCTTTTTTATGTGATTTATAGAGGTTATATGGTCTAGTGGAAATGAACTAAAACACCATTCAACTTCTGAAAGGAAAGAAAATATACAGATTAGAGCTTTTTTGCAATTTTTGAGGAAGAACAAAGGACAATGACAAGTTTTAAGGTGAAACCCCAGGTTTTTGGTTCAATGGTAATATCTTCTGCTAACTACAGGGTGGTGATGTGTACAGCAAAAGTCTTACTTCATTACTTCTAACACACATATTCTTTATGAATTATAAAAAAAATACAGAATCTTAAAAATTTTTTAAAGATTATAACAATTTGGTAACACTGCTTTACCAAACTGAAAAGCCCAACTTTGAATTTTTTGGTCAGTTTTTAAAGACTGGATTATTAGCTTCTTGATTTTTTTTCAGCTAAACAAGTACAAAACTCTTTCCCCACAACAGAGTAAGAGCAAACTGACCTGGGAGGTGAGGGTGATGCTTGGCTGCGACTGTAGGAGGTTGGCTTGGCTTTGCTGAGGTAGTTGCGTTAAAAGATTTTGCGCTTGCAGGAGACCTGTAAAACATAAACATGTTATTGCCACAAAACATTAACAGCAAACGAAAGAATAAGAAATTAAACTGAAAAAAATTTCAGCCAACTATCTGATAGTTTTACTGGTTTTCAAACTTGTCTTACTGTCTAAAGTTCAATCTTGTTAAGTACAACTTCAGTAGGCAAGAAGACACATAACATTAAATTAAAATTGGTATGTCTTTAGTGTAATCTGAATAAGCTCTCTGATAGGCCAATTCTTTAATAGGCAGCAAATAAAGAATATGAAGAACTATTCTAAATGGAAGCAACTAGAAATTAAAAAAACACAAAACAACAACCATACCCCCTGCGCCCCTCCAAAAAAACCCAGCTCAACTTCTTAACAGGAATCCACTAATATACGCCAGTATATTCTGGACCACAGAAGTACCTAGTTCATATAAGGAGCATGCGATCCTTTAAGTTTCCACTTAAGGATGCTGTCTTCTAAAGTTTTCTTCATAAAACCTTTGCCTTTCAGCTGAAATGTAAATTCTATTTGTACTATACTGAACTGTCGTAGTTTAAAAGTCACAGATAAGTCAGATAGGTGTGGTGTTGCATGCCAATACTCTAAGCTATTTGACTGGCTGAGGCAGAAGATTGCTTGGTCTAGGAATTTAGGAGCAGCTTCGGCAATAGTCAAAACTTACATTAAAAAGCGGGGAGCAGTAATCTAAAGACCTAACTCCAAATATAATGCTGTTGCTAAAATATTAAATATAAGATTATCTTTGATAAGATAAAATTATTGAACGTAGTACTTCAAAGAAAAGGAATGCTACCAGTTGTTTTGTTTAAATATATGTAGTTAAAATTAGTTGGAGAAACATTTTCCTAACTATGATTCCCACAGACTACTGAATTTGACAAATGGAATGTTGGAGTACACAGGACAACAATTAAAAACTTAAACTAGTCATAGATTTTATCATTTCTAAGTAACTAAAAACTACCCAAACTTAAGAAATTAAAGCATATTCACCATATATATCACAAATAAGATAAACATATGAAGCAGATTTAAATTTTACTGGTTTGGGGCAAATGAGTATGATGAAGTATGATTAAGTGAACTCTTAAAAGGCATATAAAAAAAAAGAGAGAAGTTTAAGGGACCACTCTGGTTCCTCCAGTGACTTCCTATAGTTCAATCCCACAGAGTATCTAGGATTGTCTTTTCGGTCATATCCTCCCCAGTTAAACACTCTGCAGACCTTCTCTTCCGAGTGGGATCTGATCTGTGCAGTCCTGTTTAGCTCTCGGGCGCTTTCCTACCACTTCCTCACACTCACTGAGCTCCAGCTGTCCCAGGCTTTCTTTTCTTGGGCTAGGACAAGCTTGTTCCCCTCTCAGGTGTTGTTATTCTCCCTGCCCATGAGACTCTTCACCTGGATCCTAGGAGTGACAGTTCTCCCTGACTCCACTGTCAGTTTCCTACTCAAAGTACACTTTTCCAGAGAGGTCCTTTCAGACCACCTACCCATTCTTCCACAGGCAAACTGTTACTCCTTTAGTCTGATATGCTGTCTTCCTAGTATGTAACACTATTTGAATCATTTTTCCATGTTTACTATCTCATTTTTTCTAAGAGACAGCAGGCATTTTGTGTTTTTCAGAATTATAATTCCACCACTTAAGAGTTCTATACAACAATCAGCAGGTACTCAACAAACTGTTGAGTGAATTAGTCATCATATTAAATTTTTCTGGTTTCAAAAAAACCTGAAGGGTAGTATAAAAAATAAAAATGTTATGTCAGGGATTACAACCAATCTATTAAAAATATTTTGAAAGGATGATGGTCTAAGAATATTGAAAAATAGTAAGTTATATAAAAATTGAATGGCCCCATAAAGGTTTAGAACTTCATGCAGACCACCCCTTGTACCCTCCCTCACCCTCCCAGCTAAGGAAAAGCCAAGTAAAAAACAAACATCCATTTTCTTCTAATATGAGTATTTCTTTGATTAGTTTCATAATCAATGGTGAAAGGGCAGAATAAAACCTCCGGTAAATTATGTGTAAAATTTGGAACAGTATCAATAATAATTTTCCTAAGGGAAGGGGGACCTTGGGAAAATGGCCTAGATTTCTCTTGCTAGAAGTTAAATATTCAGACAGTAATAAATTAATAGTAATATCATCAACAATACAAATCACACTGCAAAAGCAAGCCCTTTCTTATTTCATTTTGAGCACGGTCTTGTTAAATTATGATTCTTCTGCTTCAGCTTCCCAGAATGCTAAGACTACAGGCAAGTGCTACTATGCTCAACTTTGAGCTTTATTTTTTCTTTTTTAAAAAATTTTATTTAAAGAGAAAAAAAAAAGGGGGCTGGGGATTTAGCTCAGCGGCATAAGCACCTGCCTTGCAAGCAGGTGGTCGTCGTGAGTTTAATCCCCGGTACTGATAAAAATGAAAAAAAAAAAAAAAAAAAGAGAAAAAAACAAAACAAAACAGAAAAAGGGTACAAGTAATACAGAATTAAAAAAAAAACAATAAGAAATCACTAGTTAATAGATTACATATTGTCATCTTAGAAATAGTTGTTCAAGTTACAAAATTAAAGCATACAAAGTGGACATTCAAACAGTGAGACTGCAAACAGTTCTGTCCAATGATCCAGCAAAAACTCAGTAATATGGTTATCTATCTTATTCACTTAAATATACATGCAGTTATATCCTTTAGAGCACTTTCTTTTCCTCTCTTTTTTACAATGACAATTGCACATTTTGGGTTTTATTACTCCCACAGTTCTTATTACTTTGAGCTTTATTCTTTCAAAAAATGAAATCCAAAAACCAGGCTCTTGGCCTTGCCAAGATAAAATGAAAGCAACTCATTCAATCTTAAACCTTTAACAATTACCAAACCTGATATACACACTTCAGTATGGATCTGAGTATTTCTGGCTGAGATCATTTCCTCCTTCCTTCTTAAAATTCTCTTTCATTGTTATTATGACTCTTCACTAGTTTTGACCTCTAAAATCACAGTATCGTCTTCTGATATCTACTTATTCCTCCTATATTTTATATAAAGATTTTTTTTAAAATTACAGATCTTTATTATTATGTAAACATTTTCTTACCCATTAACCTTCACGGTTTCCTAAAAAACCAAGAACTACTTAGAGCCTCATCCTCATCATTAATCAAATATAACTGGCTACCACATCTCTACCCACCAAATCATCATTTCTTTCTATCCTTACAACCACAGCTCCACCCATATAAAATCTCAACTAGACCATTGCAGTGTTCTCCTAACCCATATTTTTATCCAACCCACTTTTTTTTCCTCAGGTTTCAGGGTCAGCTTTCTTAATACAAAGTGGGAAATACCATCTTTTTACTTCAACTTTATATAGTTTTGTATAGCCCACAAGAGGCTTCCTACATTCAAAGGCATTGGAACACTCAACTTAGGGTCAGGGTTAAAGGGCTGGTTTAAATTCTGGGGCTCAGACACTTCTTTCCTAATTCTTCAAGAGACAAACACATGTAATGAACTATGTTAACTATTAAGCTATTGGACTAAAGGTCAAACTCGTTAGGTGCTCTAAAGATCTGATCTTCTCTAATCTTTCTGACCTTAAATTTCACACATGCAACTTTATGTACACAGCTTATTAATATTTTTTCCATGTCTCTGAGTTTTGCAAATGCTTCCATTTTGTATGACTGACATTCTCTCCTTTGTATCTGTACAAAGCCACTCTTGCATCTCACTGTGAAGGCTTCTCTCATCAAAAAAGTACAAAGGGTCTCTGCTGGGTTCCCACAACATTCTGTGCACATCAAACCTAATATCTTGTAATAGGTATGTTTCTCTGGCACTAAACTGTAAACTCTTTCATTCTGAATGTATGCTAAAAATACATTTTTACACAATGAACGATTTTGGAATGAATATGTAAGAAGAAAAAGGCAAAAGAAATGAAAACAAAAAGCCAGAAACAACGAAGACTTGGTATTTGATTAATATATTGTACACATATACTGAAATAACACATCATACCCCACCAATATAGACAATTAAAATAATATTTTTAAGAAACCAATGGAGATGCACTAGTGTTTGGAGTTGGGGAATCACTCACCCTGCTGGCCCTGGGGCGTCTGGGAGATGATAAACTGCGCGGGTTGCAAGTTGGTGGTCGGATGCACCAACACAAACTGCTGCAGGTTGAGATTCTGCTGCTGCAGCTGTTGCAGTTGCTGAAGGTCCTGAAAACGCAGAATTAAAACACAGACTGGAGATTCTGAAAATAAGTTTGCTTAGTTCTAAGCCTCCTGCTAATGACTTCTGTTGCATCCAATCAAAGGAAGGGTCTCTACTGAGCATTTTTTCACACACTTCCCCTGCCCCCAAAGTGTTTCAAATGGTGTGTAGAGACCCTGGAGTTGGTTTAAGAACTCACTCCTTTAGTGGGTATAGCATTCATAGTGTCATGGGTAATTTTTAAGTTATTTATAAAGTCTTTTTAGAATAATGATTACAGTTCTATTTTTCTAACATGGGTTTTAAAAATCAGGAGAAAAAAAGTTTTTATATGTTTGATCTATTTTTCTCTTATATGAAATTGAGAGTGCTATGCCTGAATTGTCATCAATAAATTAGATCTGTGGCTAAAAAAATCTGATACCAACTCTATTTGATGTACTGAGAAATCTGTTAAATTATTTAAAAGACAAAGTTATTTTTTGATTTCCTATTAACTTGATTTGAAGCCCTATATTGTTCTCACCATCTTGTTTTGACTGATTTTACTCTATTCTGTTTCATTTGATAGTATCAAGTTTGAGGGTATAGGCAACTACTTTGAAGGCAATAAGATTCACTATGATGCCCATTCTGGTTTGACTATTATCTTCTTTTGAAATCCTATAATGTCTCCAATGTTTAGGTTTTATTCTGTACTGTTTTGTTCAATTTTATTATACCTGATGATATAGGCAATTCTTTTTAAGGTAGCAAGAGGCATTATGGTAACCATTGTTGATTAGTCTGTATTCTGTTTTTACATCACGTACTATGTTTTGTCACATTTGGTTTTATTCTCTTCCAAAAAAAAAAAAGCAGTAAGAACTGTGGGAGTAATAAAATCCAAAATGTGTAATTCTTATTGCAAAAAAGAGAGGAAAAGAAAGTGTTCTAAAGGATACAACTGCAAGTGTGTTTAGGTGTGTAAGAGATGACCAATTACTAAGGTTTTGTTGGATCACTGAACACAACTGTTTGCAGTCTTACTGTTTGAATGTCCTCTTTGTATGCTTCAATTTTGTAACTTGAACAACTATTTTTAAGATGATAATATGTAATCTATTAGCTAGTGATTTCTTACTGTTTATTTTTTTGAAATTCGGTATTACTTGTACCCTTTTACTTTTTTTTTTCCTTTAAATAAAATTTAAAAAAAGTTATCCATATATAAATCTCATTATAGCATAATGATAATATCTTGCACTAGTGTTTTATACAGTCACTGTTTTATTTAGACTAATGACAACATAAGATCTCACAGCTCATGCACTAAAAACGTTTATTTGATGTTGAAGAAATTAGCCCAAATGAAAGTGTTACCTTGATAAACACTGTGCATAATAGCAATAAAGAGTAGCCTGATGTTATTTTTTCAACTGTAGTCAAGCTCTTACTATAATTTAAATCCACTTTTGTGTCTTTTTCTGACGGATAAAGCAATTGTCTAAAACTAGACTCATTATTAACTCTTCAAATATTTCACTCAATAACCTCTCCACCCTGCAGTATTAGTGATTGAACCCAGGGCCTTCACAATCAGGTATATTTCCAGTACTTTTTTATTCTGAGATAATTCTCACTAAGTTAGCTGGGATAGGGTTGAACTTATGGTTCTCCTACTTCAGCCTCCCAAAGTTTTGAGATAGAGCTACTACACTTGATTCTTTTTCTTCTTTTTGAGAGAAAATATTTTACTTATTTTTCTCTTTGGTCCTATTTGTCTGTACTTCTTAAATTTATTATCTTGGGATGCTTTGCCCAGAAATGTGAAAAATGAAACCAAGTGAGAGTTGATTACAGTTCTTCAGTGTTAATCGTTCCAAAGTAGAGTGACTTGCATCTCTCTTACAAATGGGTTTACTGCAGATCACATGAAAGAATTCATGTTTACTGTAATTAGCTCATTAAGATAAATACAGTAATCCTCTGCTTCAGGAATATAGCAACTACTTATTCAAGAATTGTCACTTGATGTAAACAGTCAGTTATTCAAATAATTAGCTCATTTATAATACCAACTCAAATAAGCAAACAGATGCATTATTTCTTCATTGCTAAGGAAAGATTACCAGTGAAGATTACTTCACTGATCTAGGGCCCATATCAACAATCAGTAAGTTACTTTAACATGTCACAGAATCTGCTGCTTTATTACTTATTTGCTGCCACAGACCCTGAGCTCCTTACTTACCTGTGCAATTTGGATGGGCTGTGACAGGGGGATCTGTGTCATGGGCGTGGCGGCGGAGGCAGAGATGGTAGCCCCAGCAGCGCTGTGCTGCTGGCTGGCAGAATGCTGCTGCACTGCAGCCGCCAGCAGCTGTGCCTGTGCCTGTGCCTGCTGCAGTAGTAACTGCTGCTGGGCTGGTGTCAACGTGAGCTAAACAAAACAAGAACACACAATGGGAAGGCTGAAAGAGCATGGCGCCCAATGTAAGTCCACTGCTTCTAAATGGTTAACTCAAGTGGTGGTAGGACTACTCAACCTCACTAAGATGCTAGCAGAACTCTGAAATGAAAGTGGTGGTCCTTACTCTGAACTTAATCATTCATGCTTGTCTAGGATCTTAGGGTTCAGGCGAGATAGGCAATTAAGTAGTAAACAAGGAAAAAAGGAATCAATGCTGAGAGGATTCGAAAAGAACTTTACACCCAACAGAACAGTAAGAGATTAGTCAGATGAGTGAGGGACAGGGACACTGGATATGACCATGAAAAGAACTGATAAGACCCAGCTGCTTCCCATCAGTGCGACACCCTGCCATACCCCAACATTTTCATTGTGTCCTAAGATGTGACTAAAGAATATGAGCTCCATTTGTTTCTTTTCCATGTCTCCCAACAGGCCCCTCCTTAACACAATCTTTTCTATTACTGAAAGCACTGAGTCTCTGCAACTTTACATCCCGTTTCCAACCCATTATCTTTATGAAACAGGTGGTGACAGCCACTCTCTTTACATGCAAATGAAGCTTAAGGTCCAGGTTTAATAGCAGCTTCAGCCACAGGAACCTGGAATCTGAAGTGCCTCTCCCTTCTATAGATCCTAGTCAACAAAAATAAAATCCAAATAGTAAAATGGGAAATATATTTAGAGTAGATTTAAACTGCTTTTATAATACGACTTCTTCATAATATGCTTTAGTCAAAGTAATACGCTGAAATTTCCTTTTGGCAACATATTCTGATCAAACAAGGAGGAATCACAATAGTAGATGTGTGTAAAATGTCACTTGGCAGCACAACCTTCCTTTCAAAAGGGTCCAAACACAATCTGTGCATTACAATCATAGCAAAAAATTGAGCTATTAGAAGACTCAGTATCTTTCAAGATGTTTATGTATATATTTTTACTTTATATAAGATACATATATTCATCTCTATTGATGGAATTTTATAAACAATTTTGCAACAGTTGTTAAAGGAGCCTTTCACTAAGCTGGGTGTGGTGGCAGGAGTATCCTTCTGAGTTTGAGGCCAACCTCAGCTACATATGTGAGTTCAAGACCAGCCTGAACTATACAGTGAAAGCCTGTCTCAAAAAAACCAACCAAACCAAAGCAAATCAAACCAAATGAAACCAAAGCAAACCGAACCAACAAAAAGCCTTTCACTGCCAGAAAATAAACCTGAGGATTGATGTGATGTAAAGTAAATACAAACTCTTCCTTATCATTCCCTTCCCTCCCTCCCTTTTTTTCCCCTCCAGATAATTTAAAGATAAACTTTCACCTTGGAGGAAAAGAAAGAAAAAACATATATATACACACATGTATACAAAAGATAGCTAAGATAATTATACTATTGATTTCTTTTAGTTCACTGAAAAGAGTGACTTATGCTTATATTGTTTGATCAATTATGCACGCATGTATCTTGTAATCTGAGCAACTACTTTGAAGATACACAATATATTAACCAGTGTCAATTTTCTATTACCGTGTTCATGAGATTCTGTATCTTTGTTTTTTTCTCTTAAAAACAACAACAGCAGTAACAACAAAACTTCCACCTTGGAAAAATATTTGGAATTATGTCTTAGAGCAAAGGTAGCTGAAAGATTAAAAGCTCAATGTAATGTCAGGTCAATTTGTTACTAGTAAAAGTAAACAACGTTTACTGACTGCTTGGTGCCAAGTATTGTTTTATGAACTTAATGTATAATCTCTGTGAGTACTTGAGGTAGGTTTATTAGTGTTTCCATTTAACAGAAGAAAAACCATGAGAGATGAAGTAATTAATTTGTCCCCGCAATAAGCTGTAGAGCCAGGATATAAGATGATAGGTTTATTTTAAAATCCATTCTATAACTTCTATCCTGCAATGATGGCACAACTCATACTGAAAACTGCCATTTCATCAAGCTAATGGTCTCGAGCATGTAACAATGACTCCATAGCATGATGACGTAACCCCTGAAACATGGGTTTAAAAGTCCATAGTCTACTCAGAGCTTCTGCAATTGTAACAAAAGAAATTCTAGAACCAGCGGTTACCCCAGACCTGGCCATGTTGGGACTTATATGGCTGCACAAGAAAGCAATTTGCCCGCCCTCTTGATAAGCGCTCCTAGCGCTGGCCAGGAGGAGAACCAGTCAGCTGTTCGGCCCGTCAGCAACTGGGAACAGAATTCTGAGCATCTCTTGGGAGGATGACCATATGCAATAATATAGCAAAAAGGGGGGTTTCCTTCTATGTTCTCTTTGAAGGCAAAGATTATTTTCACTGTTATGTTTTATAATGATTGTTATGCTCTATTTAATATTCTCCTTCAATTGGTTTTACAATGGTCTGTTATTGGTTTGATTTCGCTATACCTAATTGACTGGACAACTATTGTGAAGATAATGAGATATACTACAATATCTATTACTACTATCCCAGTATCCTGCTTTGAAGTTGTGTGCTAATTACACTACATTGTCTCAATTGGCTTTGTTTTTATCTTCTTCTATTTGTATTTTTACTACATTCTAAAAAAAAAAAATTAAAAAAAAAAGAAATTCTAAACACTTATGATAAAGATAATTCCTTTTCGGAGATGTCTAAGAGTATAGGATGTTTCTTAAAGACACAATAGTGACACGTTACTGCCAACTCTGTAGGTGGTTGTAATGAGGTATAGTATCAGCCAAGGGTAGTTCTGACCACGGGAAGTTTATTATAATTTTTTCATTGGAAACTTACCCCAGTTATCTGTCCTCCAGCCAGCATAAGCTGGGTCTGGGGAATGGCTGCCTGCACTGAAGGCTGCTGGGAAGGCTGGCTTGACTGCTGTGAATCCCCCGGTTCTTCATTAGATTTTGCCTGAGGTGGGGTGGGAAGAAGGGATTTCCAACAGTTGATTAGAAGATTAAATATACAGCACTTGTAACTATATTTTAACAATCATTTAAAACATGGTTTACTCAAATTCTGAGGTTTTTGATTTATTTTTTTCCCCTTTCTTGGAAGCCTGTACCTTTCAAGTTTTACAACACAAAGTTTTAAAAGTTTTTATTCCAATGCAAACAAAACTAATCAACAAAGATTTTTTCAACCTCAAATCCTCAACTCTGAAAATAAGAAGTAAAGGGACGAATACATTTTTAATCTGTTTCTCTGTTAGATACTCCATATCAACATTTTCAAAGACAGAGTGGTCAATCTGAAGCTTCTTCATATAATATATTAGAGCCTGACTGCTTGATCCACAGAATTCTTTGCCTCTTATTTTAAGAAACTGTGAATCTAGCTAATATCTTTCATCAAGTAACACAGGCTAGAGAGAAAATCCTGCAGTCAAGAAACAACAAACTCCTGAAAGGGGCATGGAGAGAAAATTTTATGGTAATTAAAAATGGTTATGCAAAACATTAAAATTCTGCATAGATTTGCATATTTCCCACCACCTGTTTTGGGGACTGCAGCAAGGCTAATTAACATAAAAGCTCTGATTAATTCTGCCAGTCATTGAAAGATAATTACAGTGCCGGATTGTAAACATTCTGCACTGGAGATAGAGCCTGTTTGCCAACATCTCTCTAAGGGATGAAAGTTTACCATGGCAACCAAGGCAATTTTCCGCCTCTTCTCCCTGAGAAAGGAAGATCACATTATCTCTTTTCTTTTCTCTTCTTGTTTCCATGTGTTACTAGGACCATACTCCACTGGGTTTCATGGAATGCCCAACCCAAGGTCTTCAGTCATTAGCAACACCAGAATCAGCTTTCCAGGATACTGTTTTTCCCCCTTGACTTAGTTATGTAAACACTATCAAGGAAGCAGCACATTGAAATGTTATGAAGTAATATGTATTACCTGAACTTTGCATGTTTTGCCATAGGGTTCAAAGAAGAGCAAAACATGTAGCTAGATTTAAGTTTTGTTTTAAATTTTCAGTGTCCATTACCAGTGTCTATAAACTGGCTTACTTACAATATTAGAAGCATAACATTTTAAAGGAGAGTAAAACTCTGGTAATCTGTTACTCATCCCCACTTAAACATAGACAAGAAAACCTGAGTTCCAGGAGGTTAAGTATTTGCCATAGGTCACACAACTAGTTAGCCCAGAAAGAGAATCATATCTAAGAACCTCATAATTCTTGGTCTAATCTTCTTTCCTCTGAACTATAATGCTTCCCTAAGACATGAAAAATGACAAATAACAAATCTTTGGAAATGGAAGGACATTTAAAAAATTATTTGACTTTTTAAAAGTTACAAGTTTTAGCTGTGTACCTCAGAAAAGTTTTACTGAACATATGCATTAGACTTTTCTTATAAGCCTCTTGGGTTAATACAAAATAAAAGAATACAAAACTGATTTCCAGTAATGGCAATAATTATCATTTTGATCTTTATCAGATTCGGCAATGAAAATATAACAATAAAATAATAATCTAAGAATTTCCTATTATAAAATTATTTTGTATCTGTTAGAAAAAACTATGGCAAAAAAGGAAAAATTGGCCCATGATCCAATATTCTAACTTACCTGTACATTTAAAGACTGAGTAGCAGCCTGTAAACTTGTTCCAGCGAGCTGGACCTGTAAGCAAAGTAATTGGGCAATTGTAGCCTAAAAGTATTGACATTTGTTACTAGAATTTGTTGTCAAACAAATATCACAAGTATCTCTACCAAATGTATATTCTGAGTAGAACTGAAAATATAAAGGCTTATCTTATTGTATTAGAACTTTATGGACAAATGCAGTTTCTTGCCCACCTTAAAAAATGTCCACATTAAGTGGATGCCATTGAGGCAGGCCATATTTGTGATCTTCCACATTATTTAACATTCTTGTCTGTATTCACATAATTCATATGATTTTTAAAACTTAATCTATCCTTCATATCATCCTAAGGAACACATAAGAACAAGTTATCTCTGTATACTGTTTTTTGTTGGAGACCACTACGCAGCGGCTCTGAGCAGGATTTAAATTTTACTAATTGGCTTTCTATGCTTATCTGTGAGTCTGTCCTAGGCCTAGGCCACTTGCCTGGCGATGAGAGCTGATTCATAGTAAGTGAACCTCTATGAATCACTGGTCCTGGCTGAGGCCTGTGAGGACAGAGATACCTCAAAGGGCAAGATAAGGCCACAGCTGTGGACACCTGGCTCCAACCTCAATTAACAAGACAGAGACTACAGTTGCAGGAATTATTTCTACAGTCTCTCTTTTACCATGTCTTCATGATAAGACAGTTTCACTGAATTGACTTGATTCATTATTTGAAAACGTCCTTGAAGGGATTCCCAAGGTACTGCTCATTGCCTGTGCTTTCCTCAGTTTCCCTGCCCCTTGTTGGACCTAATAAATAAAATGGGCGGTCCAGAGAAGCCTTTGTCTTAGCCCTCGGGGGTCTCAAGTTCAATTAAAGGGTTTTGACCCTCCAGGGGCCCTAAATTCATACCATTTGTCTCACTTTATTTAAACCTCTGCCGTATACTTGTTTGGGATATCAGGGATCTAGGTCAGGACCCAATAATTTTTTGTCATTTCAAATAATTGGAACTATCTTATTTCAAAATTTCCATGATGCACCAGAGTAACAATCTTACACAGAAACATAATTATATGAGAATTCCTTAAAATATTTAGTCATAACTTAAAACTTTTAGCTAAAATTAAAAATCTGTCCCATGAACCACATATGAAAGTTTGTTGTAATATTTAGTATTCACATGTCATACATTCACAAAGTTCAAATCATGGTTAGGTCAGACTAAGGATGAACATGGAATTGAAAACTATTACTTGGTAATCATAATAATCACTGACTCATGCAACAGTCACCAAAAGATGATCTCCCTTGCAAGCGAAATATATTTACATTTTCTTGACTCTTCCCGCACAGATACTAACTACAAAGGGTAAAAGAGGAACTTTACAGAGGAGGCAGCCCGGTAGACAAATGAGCAACTGCGCATAGTCAGAGGCTCCAGTAATGGGACATGTACCTTCTTCTATAATGCACTATGAAGAACACAATACAAAGTTATTTCTGTTATATTCCTTCCACGAGCAGACAACCTGAATCTAATCATGGATTTAACAGCAAATAAACTCGAACTGGTGAATATCACAAAATAACTCTTTTGTACTATTCAAAACTGTCAATGTTCTGAAAACAAAGAAAGACCAAGAGTGCAGAAATAAACTATAAGCTAGCAATAAAATCATTTTCTATGTATATATACATATACACAGGTAAAGCAAATATGATAAAATAGTAACAAACTCATTTTAGGTAACATTGCCCTACTGCTGTAATAATTCTGTAGATTTAAAAAAGTTTTCTAAATAAAGTTTTAAAATAAAGTGAGAGCATCCCTTTACCACTCTATTTAGCTAATTTCTAAATTATGTTGAAGACTCAGCTCCAAAACCACACTCGATGCATACTACAAATACTTTAGGTTGTAACGCTGAGCTAAGTATTGTCTTACTCTGGATTTCCATATATTTTATCATTCATCTGTCTATTCATTCATTTGTCTATTCATTAACACATTATTACTGATGATGTCTTACATGTTGTGCACTTTGGTGTTAGGCACATAGATAAACAAGAAAAGTCCCCCATCTACATTGGGTGTACACTCAATATGTCAACAGATCTAAAACAACTGATTGTGTATGTTCGTATTTTAACTATGGTAAGGAAAAGTTCAATGTGCTAACTCAGTCAATAAGTGGCTAGAAAAAGCTGTCACACTGCCTGTTTAGTATGTTTCTCATCAGATGGTGGATAATTAAGCACAGATTTCTGTCTTGAGGAGGATTCAAAAGTTTCAAATAAATTCTTTGGATTTCAACCCTTTGGTCTGGATGATATTAGAGGATCTATAATTATAGCCAGTTTGTTTTTGTGTTCTCTTTTCCTCCACAGTATAGATAAAACATGAATAAAAAGAATCCACATTCTGTTTTAGACTCAGGAAAAAAAAATTGTATGGTATCAGGGTAATAAAGTCCAGGTAGGCATTTTTAACTTCAAATTAGGGGTTCATAGTAAAGCAAAAATAAAAATGATCAGAAGCTATTTTAAAGGCGAAACATAATCTTTGAGCTCACAGCCTAACACAGCAGGTCTCAGGCAGTGATAGCCATCTAGATACTCTGTTCAACAAGAAATTCTTTCTTTCTGTTCCACATAGCTGTGGGGTCACTGGTTATATGGTCAACTACACTGTAATGATTCTATTCTAACCATTCAGAATGGTGCCTAATTATGATGGCAATTAGCACTAAGTTTTAAATAATTTTAAAAACCTCACATTCAGAAATAATGTCCCTAAGCCCTAGCATATTATCTCATTCTTTTAATGCAACTTATGCTTGAGCAGGTTCTACCTGATGGAGATGTCCAAGGAAAGCCTGGGCTTGGGCTGTTGAGATTGCTCCTCCGACAGGCACAGGCTGCTTCTGAAAGTCCAGACCATTGGTTTGTGTGCCTAGAAAGCAAGTAAAATAATTTTAACTACTAAAATAAACCCAAAAGAAATAAATTCTCAGATATCAGTCACTAACATTCACTAGGAACCTATTTGGTATAAGTATATAAATATTTCGAAGAAGAAGGGATTCAAAAGAAAACAAAGTGAAAGAGTTTCTCTTCAAAAGGAAGGACTTCAGGAAAAGCATGTAACACTATTATGCTTTATTAAAGCTTAATGAACAGAAATAAAAGCATAAATAATGAATTATAATCATAAAGCATGTTGTAGAACTCAGGGATAGATGCAGTGACCAGGTTTGGAATGGGCATAGAACTTAAGATGGCTTTAAGAAATCATTTCCATTACTGGAATACACCACAGAGGCAGAGTTCCAAATAGTTAACAAGGAGTTATTTGCTTCTGTTCTCCTTCAGCTTGAGGCCTGGCTGGGATAGAAATTTACTGGTTGTTTTAACAAGAATAAGAAAAGGTTTACTATTGATTTAAACACTTTAATGAAAGACAATTTAACGGCAAAGGTTTATATGATAATTGAGTTATCTTTTTTTTTGTTTGTTTTGGCACTGGAGAGCAAACTCACTACTTTGCGCTTGCCAGGCAGGCACTTTTGCCCCTGAGCTAAATCCAGTAACTGTAAGACAAACTAGTTATACTGTTTTCTAAGTACAGTTTGCTACAGATATCTTACTTAGGGTTCTATTATATTTTTCAAAATGTTATGCCAAGTGCTTTTTAACCACTTATACTATGATTTGATGTTGGAGTAGGACTAATTTATGGAAAGACATGGCACTCTGAAACCCAGAAATATCTCCTAAGGAACAAAATGAGGTAGAACAGAAGAGATAAAGAAAGGTAGAAATAAGACAAGGGAATTTTAATTTTAAAATTGTACTTTTAAGGAAATCACAACTTTAAGGTACAGAGTTATCCACAGTTACTATGTCTTCTTCCCCCCAACACGCTCTGGGCCTATTTTTCTTCCATGCATCTCACTTCTAGACTTCTAACAGTCTTCAAGATACAAGTAAACATGTAAATTGGATCCATGTTTCTCTTTTGATACTATAAATCTAAAAAATTCTTCAGACTCCCACCCTAAAGGAAACAGCACCATAAATTGGGTCCCATACCTCTAAACTTCCAACACATGCAAATAAATGGTTTGCATTTTAACCTAGCTGACTAATGAGTAACCTGACAAACACTAGGAACACATATCCTAGAATATAATCTGTCTTGAGATCACATAAATACCCCCGGACTCCTCGAGCATGCACACTCCTGAGTGTGCACTCTGATTTTGCTTAATAAAATTGTTGATGCCTATCACTGATTTATCCTGTAATTCTTTTTGGTGATAAACCAGGCCTACTTCATGAAAGTTTGAGAAGTGGAAAATTAATGTTCCTACCACTTTTTGTGGGACTGCTTAGCAACCCATAGGTGGTGATAACACAGTTTTCAAATTACTACAACCAGCTATTTAGAAGAAGCCAGAATTCTTTGCACTAAGATGTAACACACTGCAGGAACTCCAGACACATGGGTATGTTCCAATTTCCTTCTACCATTGGAACAGCCCATTGCCCATCTTCGCACTTATGTGTGCACACATACTCAGTGAGGAGACACAAGTTAGAAACTTGTGTCTTTTAAAACTTTTAAAAGGTGCTAATTTCTGCCATTATATATTCTAATTTCTTTGTTATATTGCATAATCCTGAAGGGCTAATCGAGGTTTCTTTGGCATAATTATAAGAGGAATATATAATGTTCATTTAAGTTCATACAGATCAATTCCTTTTTTCCAAAGTCTTCCACCAGTAGAAACTATACATTAGACCACACAGCTAACAGAATTAAGAGCTAATACTCATAAATTATAAACTAGCATGAAATGAAATTTAAAGTAATTAGAGTTATTTCCATAAAGCTGTACACAGAAGTCTCACAATTTTAAAGCCGTGCATTTTATCATTATGGGTTGTCTTGATTTCTACGTAAAAAATCATTACCTATGTAAAGATTTTAAGATTGTGTTCCATTAGCTTATCAACCTTAATAAAACCATGGAAAGGATGGTGCACCATTAGAGAAAAATGCTCAAGATATATGATACAAACCACAGATCTAAAAGATGAGATTGTGAAAAAAACAGAAACAAGCGCTTTCAGGACTAAATACAGCTTTCTTACAGTCTATAAAATTCTACACAAACTGACTCCACATTCTAACTCCTATAAAAACAAAAACAAGCTCCTTGTAAGTCACAAAGCATTAACATGAGACTGATTCCTGGCATCCTAAGAACAATGGTTTATTGGTAGACCACTGCTAACAGCATTAGCAGGTTAAGATTACTTATGAGCTATGGCTCTGCCTGTTAGGACAATGAGATGAAGGTATGTTATTTATACTATAAATATTTTTAATTTTTAAAATATATTATGTTTTGACGTCTTAAAAACCCTTTCTGGCTGAGGAGAGACTGTCCCCCCAAGTTCAGTCAATTCTTAGAGATAGCAAAGGGCCTAGCCAGAGGCCCATTATCTTCGATACACAAATTAATCAATTCTTAGCCTCATCTCTAACAACTCTGAAGGGCACAGTCCTTTCTCTTACTCATTCCAGAGCCAGGACCAGAGACCACCTCCACAGCTCAAAGCCCTGTGAAATGATTCAAACTTCCCAGTCCTCATCTTTACTCTGCCCTGCCTTGCCTTTCCCAAGGAAAACCCAGTAAAGGTAGTAGCTTGAACTTGGCTTCCATTTTCTGACTCCTGCCCATCTTTGGTGACTTTCCCAGAAGCACATGTATGGAGCATTATGCTGCCTCTAGGATCTGTAAGTATAATAAACTTTGTTTTCCTGAGTCTCTACTGTGTCTCTTTTGATGGCTGTAACTGACTGACCATCTTGTAAATATAAAACAGTACTCAAATATACTAAGGTAGTCAGGTGTGGTAGTGCAGGACTGCATTCCCAGCTACTTGGAAGGTAGCTAGGGCTTCGAATTGAAGCAGGATTTCAAGTTCAAGGACAGCCACAGTAACTCAGTGACTCTCTCAAAAAAAAAATTTTTTTTTTTTTTTTGTCTTTTTCGTTTTTATCGGTACCGGGGATCGAACTTGCGACTACCTGCTTGCAAGGCAGGGGCTTATACTGCTGAGCTAAATCCCCAGCCCCCTCGCTCTCAAAATTAAAAGGCTGGTGGTATTGAGGGCTGGTGGGGTGGCTGGGACTGTAGCTTAGCTAAAGCACTTTCCTAGCATGCACAAGTTCCTGGGTTCAATCCCCAGTACTACACAAAATATAAAAAGGTACTAAGGTAAAAAGAAAGCAAACTCAGATAACTTCAGAGACTCAAGATGCAAAGGCAGATAAATTTTTTTTTTTTTTTTTTACATAAGGTGCCTGAGGTTCCACTGTAAGGTGAGGGTACAAGAAGGATACTGTATTACATAGAGATTTTGTAAAACTGGGCTAAAAGCAACGGAGAGGGGAATCAGACTAACTGGATTTGAGTATGAGGAGACAGGCTGGTGGGAGCCAAAGCCCAGTACCATCTGGGTTTATGTGTTTGGCAGAACAGAAACAATAGAAAAAGGAACTATAGGAGTTAACTTTTTAGGGGAAAAGGTGAATAATCTAAGATTAACATAAGATACACGGAGATTGAGAAATTCTGAAAAAATTACAAAAAGTGGTCCAGAAGGCATTTAGAAGTGAGAGCGAGGGATTCTATAGTCTTCATTAGTATAGCACTCAAGCTAAATTTCAGATCCTGTATACTAGGCTTTAAGGAATCTTAAGTGATATGCTGAAGAGGGCATAACTAGTTAATGGAAAAGTCACATTACAAGGACTGCATCTGACTTTGTCTAGTCATACATGTAAAAGTGATAGAGGAATGTAGGGCTACGAATGTCCCTCAGCAGTAGTTGCCTAGTATGTGCATATGGATAATAAACAACTGCACACTAGTAAAGGTAAAACTCAGTGGAAAATATAAGTAATCAAGACCGACTCAAGAAGACACAGATAACACAACGAGTCCCACAGCATTTAATGAAACTGAATTAGTAAGTACCTAAGGAATTTTACCCCAGGGCGGTTTCAAAATTTCAAGAAACAAGTAATTTCAATCTTCCACAAACTTTTACAGAGAACAAAAATGAAATAAAACAGACAACACTCCCTAAATCATTTAGTGAAGTCAGCACAACCTTGATAAAGGTAAGTGTGAAAAGGAAAAAAATAATGTACAGTTTCATCCATAAAACACATATGGAGAAAATCCTAAATAATAATAATGATGGCAAACCTACTCTAGGTAGAAGCTATTTTATGACTAAAAAAGATTTATTTCAGGAGTAGAAGGTTGACTTGGGGTTAAAAAAATCGATCAACAGGACTTATCAAATACATCAGTGGGACAGGGAAGTGGGGGTAAGTTTACAGTCATCTCCAAGAATACAGAAAGATGCTTACATTTTAATATACACATGATAAAACTTTTAGGTATAGGAACAGAAAATAGCTTGAGCTGATGAATAGTATACAAAAAATAAATGTCACAGTTAATGGTGAAATGTTAAAAGCACTCCTTTTAAGAACAAGATAAGGATGCCAGCTCTGATCATTTCTATTATAATGGCATGACTAGATAGCAAAACAAGGCAAGAAAATAAAACATGTGGGTTGGAAATAACAACAATGAATCTTGATTATACATGTAGATTATCTTAAGGAATCTAATAACTATTAGAATAAACAATCTTATAGGGCTGAGTACATAAAATCTACTTCAAAACTGGCTTTGTACTTAAAAAAATTAAAAATTCTTCTGTATACTACTTAAAAGAAAGTTCTGGGGCCAGATGTCATGGTCCACATCTGTAATCCTAGCAATTTGGGAGGCTGAGGCAGGTGGTTCACTGCCAAGGTCAAGGCCAACCCGGATCACACAGTGAATTCAAGAATTCAAGGTC